TTTCAATTCGCTTTTACAAAAATAAAAGTACAAATGAAATTACGTGGACAATTACGAATTAACCAAAGTATTCTTGAAGTGGATATGGTTCGAATGTCACTGAATTTTGTGCATGGCTGCAAATCATAATGCACTTATATTAAGATTCTTTCGCAGTTATCGAACGCCTGTGATTAGGTAGTATGATGTTCTGGGTCTTCTTCAGTCACTTTTTATTAATGCCATATCAAACTCACAATTAAGGTGGCGTTCATCAAACCTCTTGCGTAACATAGTCGTATCATAAGGTATATGTATATATATATAACCAAATACATTTTTAAATATTATAGGACAAATAATTTTGAAAAATATGGAAAGAATGCAGTTTAGTTTCCTTTTTTCTTTCTTGGACAAGTGCCGCAATGAACCTTATTCAAGAAGTAACTTACGAGTTTTGACGTACGATGCTTAATTCTTATCATCATACGCAGGAACGTGATGATGAAAAATACTAGTTTTTGTGTATCTCATTTCTTGAAATCTCTTCCTCTCTCAGCTTCCACCGATTATGAATTTTCTACTCGCACTCGCAAGTGTGCAGATTCAGTGATCGACCCGGTTGAGTTCAAATGGTTCGTTAAATTTTGATTGAGATTAATTATGGAAAAGTTCAGAGGCGACGGTCGTTCGGACGTAGGCGGGGCGTAGCCAGAAAAAGGCTCGTTTAACTCCAGTTGGGCGGGGGAGGGTTAAAGTTTAGCGAGAAAATCCATTAGATTTGAGCGACACCGATTTTTTTTTATGTTAATTAAGTCAATTGCATGCGGGAAATTTATCAGAACGGTTCAGCGTACCGGTGGATCACGCGATCCTCTCACCTCTGGGGCCATCTTGTTGGATTTCCACGTGAGATCGCCGCCTTTGGGAGGCGGCGAACCGCAAAGCTGAACGACCCCCGACCCTTGACGCGGCCCAAGTGTCGAGGGTCTTTTCATTTTGTCTAAAAAGTAATATATTTTTCTTTTTATGACTTCGTACTAATTAATTTTTTAATGTATATATATATATATATATATATATATATATATATATATATATATATATATATATATATATATATATATATATATATATATATATATATATATATATATATATATATATATATATATATATATATATATATATATATATATGTGAGTGAATTATTAGATTATTGGGTTATTGGATAAATTGGATAAATGAAAAACTTTTAAAGATGTGATAAATTGATATGAACAGAATCGTAAACTGTGTGGAGAGATAGTTTAAGGTTTCGTCCACAATATAGAGGACACGAGATATTTCTGGATTCCTCCCGCGTCGAAATTGCTGACGTTTCGCCAATCATCCTGTTGGCTTTTTGCTTGACGGAAACTGATCGACGCAGGAGGAATCCAGAAGTTTTGTAAAAAGCATTACAGTAGCCTGTGGAAGTTTCTTTGAAAAATCAATATAATTTTAAATTACAATTACCAGTACAAACTTTAATATTTACCAGTACAAATTTTAATATTTACCGAAGTTTGGCTTAACTTTGAAGATCGACAAGATGTGAAGGACACTTTATACAGGGTGTAGTCACAATACATCGATTTTGCGAAAGTTCCATAGTGGTCCGCAGGAGCATGATAGAAAAACAATGCGTCCCTCTAGTACAAGAATCCGCCTTATTTTTAAATTAAAAAGCTGATTGGTGCTATTTGCGACGAACATGCCCGCCCAGCGACGATTTTTCGAAAGCAATCTTGTTATCTCTTTTTTTGTGCTTAGTATTAGACCCAATTTTTTTTTAAATCAATTCCATAAATTGATATATTGCCATTGTTCAATCTTTTGATTTATCGTTCAAGTTTTACCTATAGGAATTATAACACATATTTTTAGTGCAATAGTGCAATAGAACGAGCCAAAAGGTATATTCCTGTCTTTTGCTTAAATGACTGGAAAACAATTACGATAGTAGCAAGATCCAAGAGAGGAGAAAATAAAACTTCAAGAACTTCAAAGAACTCAGCAAATCAACATTAAAAAAATACGATTCGAGACGAAAGTGGTCAAAGCGTAAATGGAACAAAAAATTTAATATTGTTGAGGTACAATTACGATGAAGAATATAAAGTTATAAATGCAAGAGGAAAAGTAAAGCGTAGACCCGGTAGTAAGAATTAGACTTAAAAAAGTGCTACTCAGAACCATTGCCAATATCCAAAAACAAAAAACATGGCTGTACGTGAACTTACTAAGTAATAATTCCATAAAAGGCAAATTTTAATGCTACTTAATTTTTCTTATTACTAATTATTATCGTTTAATTATTTGTTAGTTTTGGTTAGTTTAATAAATGTTAGGTGAACAAATTGACCTTAATTTCCTTGGAATGGGAAAATAATAGATATAGGTTATATTACGACTAATAAAACAATACAATTTTTTTATTATAGTGGTAGATTAAGAAAAACCTACTTTCAAAATGTATTCCCACTAAAATAAACTGACTTTATAAGCTACTCATTTTGTTCTGTCCCTTTTTGCTCTACCGAATATATTTGGTTGCCTAATGACTGATTTGTTTCGAACGTGGGCACGTAAATGTGTCTGTGCGAAGCGCTTAATTCCCCCGCTATACGTAATCCCCATAATAGAAACCGCCCCCTGCCACCCCCAGCAGCGAATCGTAATAACTTGACTGGCTTCTATCGGTGTTACCGGGCGTCGATGACGATTCTTTCGTAGCAAACAAAAGCTCACCGCCGCGTATTCCGTATTTCCCGCGGTTTAGCATTTTAACCCATATTTTTATCGAACGCCCGAATAAATAAACGATAACGTTCCTCGGCATCGGGGCGCGGGCGGCATTTCTTTAACAACGTTACCGCATTTTTGAAGCAACCATTCTTTGACGCGTCAATTGATCGATCACCGATGTACTACCACGTTCCGTTTTATCGCAACCGATCAATCGTCCGGGTTTTTCGTGTTGCATACGATTAGGTACGTCGTATAATCCATCGTTCAAATCTATTACGAACTGAAATTGCTAAAGGATAGGAATTATTATTTCGATTTGTTCGATTGGAGAACTGTCAATTAAAAACTGACCAACCCACAACTTCACAAAATTGTTGTTGTGATTGAAATACCCGTTTATATAAAAATTTATAGAGTTTAGATAATTGCCAAGTAATAATAATAATAAAAAACACATTTATTGCTTTGCCAAATATACATATTGTAACACACCGGTTTTTAAAAGTTTTGGTTGATATTATTAAATCTTTTAAACATCTCTTTTCGATGTTGTGGTATTGTCAATATAAATTTTTTTTTTAGATTCAAGTCATGAACATCTGTAAGAAAAGTGATTTTGTTAAAAATCACACAGCACAAACGACAAACTAAATTAGATCAAAAAATGTTCAGATTTTCACAATTTTTAATGCTTCGCTGTTAGCTGTTTCGGCAAATACAAAATAGGACTATATTCCGAGACTTATATATAAAAACAGGTAGTAATAAATTTTTAATTATTGGTATAGGGTAATAAATTTAAATTTAACAACGGAGACGGATTTAAATCCAATTAATAATCCAAAGTAATAAATTCGAATATCTCATTTTGTTAAACTCCATAGCTTCCAACAACTTTAATTTTTTGCTTTTTGAATGATTATGTAAAATATCAAAATTATCGTCAACTTTTATTTTTATACACCCTTTTATGTTCATTGTTGACTCCGAATTTTTGAGTTTTTCGTAATTTTGTTTTATTGTTTTTTAGAAAATGTCCTATGGTGTTTTCAGCTTTAAAAGCAATATTAATACCAAATTTAGATCGAAGTTTAGAAATTTTCTTGCTAGGTTCCCCTATGTATTTTATTGTTTTATAAATTTCGTTTTCTGTGTTTAATATTTGATAGACAGAGTTGGATTTATTTGAAACTGTTTTTTAGTTATGATCTCATCTATCAGAGAGGGGCCGTAACCATTTTCTATAGAAAGTGGTACATTAATACATACATAATAAAATGCAGACATTTTGCGTGTGTAAGGGTGATTTGAGTTATTATGTGTTATTGTGTCCGTGTGTGAGGGTTTATGGTAAATGGAAAAATCTAACTTGTTCTGTAGTTAAGTTATTATTATTATTATTATTATTATTATTATTATTATTATTATTATTATTATTGTTCCGTCTCTATGGTAAATTTTATAACAATGTTATGTATCGAGTTAATATGATTCAAACAGGACTGCAGTTGTCTTTCGGTTCCCGTGAAACAAGCAAAAACGATCATCTACGTATCTATACCACCACAGAAATCCTTAATCCTTCATTAGCAATATAAAATTCAAAATAATTTTGGTCTAAAGAAACGATTAAGCTATGTAGCATGTCTTGTTTAATGATAGGGTTAACTTGTCTCTGCGTGAGAATATTGTCTATTATGTTTATCACGTCAATTGGTGGAATGCTAGAAAGTACGTTTTGAACATCAAATGAGGCTAGAATTCCCTTAGGAGGAATTTTTATGTCTTTATCCTTGTGAATTAGTTCGAATGAATTCTTGATAGCATACCTAGGTTTAAGGCAGTATTATATTCTAAAATTTTAATTAATCTTGTAGAAAATTTAACTGATGGTGCTGTTGCAAAAGAAACTACAGGCCTTATTGGCATTTGCTTTTCGTAGGCAATTTAATTAAAGAATATAACTTTGGTATTTATCCTTGTCCGGACTCTTTCTGAGAAAGACTCTTATTCTAACTAACCAAACAGTTTCTTAATCCAAAGTATACAATAGGACACCAAACAGTAATTCGAACTAATTAACAAGGTTACAGACATTCCTCCTAAAGCAATTCTAGTTTCATTTGATGTTCAAAACTTATTTCCTAGCATTCCACGAATTGACGTTATCAAGATAATAAACAATATTCTCACGCAGAGACAAGTTAACCCTATCATAAAACAAGACATGCTACATAGCTTAATCGTTTGTTTAGACCAAAATTATTTTGGATTTAATTGTCAATTTTATATTGCTAAAGAAGTATTAATTATGGGAAACTCACTTAGTCCACTACTTGCAGAAATGTTCATTTACAATTTAGAAAATGTTATACATAAACATCCTCAGAGTAAAGGATTTCTCTATTGGTAAAGATACGTGGATGATGTTTTTGCTTGTTTCACTGGAACCGAAAGACAACTGCAGTCCTTTTGGAATCATATTACTCGATACATAACCGCATAAAATTTACCATAGAGATCGAATAAGATAACTCTCTGGACTTAACTATAACTAAACTACATAACAAGTTAGATTTTTCCATTTACTTTGACAATAATTTTGATATTTTACATAATCCTTCAAAAAGCAAAAAACTGAAATTGTTGGAAGCTACTGTGATTAACAAAATGGGATATTCGAATTTATCACTTAATGACCAATGGGATTTAAATGCGTCTCCGTTGTTAAATTTAAATTTATAACCCTATACCAATAATTAAAAATCTATTGCTACCTGGTTTTATATATAAGTGTCGGAATATAGTCATAGTTTGTATTTGAGGCACGGTGGTGCCGAAACAGCCGTCATAAAGCATTAAAAACTGTGAAAATCTGAACATTTTTTGTTCTAATTTAATTTGTGTGAAATGGATTTTCATTAATTATTAATTAATTTATAATAGAATGCGGCACGGTGCAACCTAAACCTATCGCACATGTTAAGCTAACCCGAAACAGCCAAGTATGGAGAAATATGATCCTGTCGGCGAACTCCATAAACAAGCCGGAAACATGAAATGTGTATTTTCTGGATACGATATTGGTCAGCAGGGTCCAGAGAGGTTGCATGCACACCATAGCAATGATTGAATTGTCACAAAACGATGGATTAACAAAGCAATTTGTTTGTAACAATTGGAAGAAAATATCTATGACTGTATATTAAAGTTAAATTCCCATATGCTATTCTCAATTTGTCTGTAATGTCCAAGATCAATCCACAACTTTTCGATGTATCCGAGTATGGCATAGAAGTGTCATTAGTTTTTATGATAATTTTGTTTTTGACATTATGTACCTGGGAGTCATTTCTAAAAACCGATATCGACGATTTAGTTGAATTTCACTGCAGTAGATGATCGGACAATTGTATAAAAGTTCTTTAAGTCAGTATTAATTTTAGTCTCAGACTGCGTCTTTTCATAATCTCCAAAAGAAAAGTAAATTTGAGTGTTGTCGGCATATAGGTGATAACTACAATATTTTAAAGCCTTTACAAAGTTAAACGTATAGATTGTATACAACAAGGGACCCAGTATGCTACCTTGCGGTACACCTAACTCAACGGAGAGTGATTCGGAATACACATTGTCGCAGAGCACCTGTTGAACTCTATCCGACGAAAACGAATTTAAAAACACGCGTGCACCTCGAACCCAATGTAGTGTAAAATTGAAATGAGCAATTTATGATTGATCCTTCAGTAAATCATCAGTAATATCGATCAAAGCACTTTCACAACTAAAATCTTTTCTAAGCCCAGATTGTTTTTGTCGGTAACATATCAAAAAGAGCTAAGAATTTTCTTATTTGTCTATCAATTATTTTTTTCTAAAACTTTAGAAAGAGTGTTTGTTTAAATTCTGTGGGGTTTTTTATCATCACCTTCGGTTTAAGATTTTTTATTATGTAAAATATTTCATCCTCTGTAGCCAATGTAAAATGTAGCTCTTGATCGACATTTTTTAATTGATTGTTCTCATAGGAATTGATTAATTCCTGATCTGGTATTTTATTATTTCCGACAGAGTTTATAAAAAGTCGATTCAGATCATTGAAATTTCGCAAATGATTTGGTAAAATATTTTCTTTAGACTTGGTTATATTAAGTCTTTTTAACTCTGCCCACGTGTCCTTCGAATTTGACTTTGAGATGTATGACGCAGATATGCTTTTTTTTGCAGCGTATAATAATATAATTCGGAATCGTTTATATAAAAGCTGTAGGTACCCTATCAAATAATTATTCACTCGTAATCAGTGGAGAAGAAAACACTTTACTTTTAATATATCCCCAGAAATAAAAATTAAGTGGTGTCAAATTAGGTGACCGTGGAGGCCACTTCCAAGGACCAATCCAGCGATATTCGAACATTCGAGATAAGCCACATGAGCACTATGTGCTGGTGCCATATCTAATTGATACCAGAATGTTTAAGTAACGGTTCATCTTTGAATTTTTAAATGTTTATTCTCTTTTGCCAAAAATATTTGTTTTTTCTTTCTATTTAATATTCCCTTTCTTGAAAGGTTCGATTCATGGGGCCAAATTGAGGGTCTTCTTTCTTCTAATAGCCGTTCATGGTGATCTGGGTACAGGGGCATGAAACGTTGATTCAGAATTATTTCTACCTACAGGTGAAGCACAAATGTCCATATCTCCTTCTCCACTAGTTATTGGTTTTGGAACATCTTCTGTAACTTTAATGTTTCCGATACGCAAGGAGTTTGTTCCAATCCTCTTGAATTTTGTCTTATTCGTTAGCGGCAAATGGGGATATCGTACGTTAAAAACACGGCAGGTGCTCTCCGGCACTTCATAATTGTCACCGTGAATATAAAACAAATTGAGAATGACTTGACATGTTCCCGTCGCAATCGCTACCGCTTTTTTTGGCTAGTTTAGACAAACCTGTGTACCGGAAAATGAAAATCTGCAAATTTATGCTATTATATTTTATAAACCTGTTTGCGTTTCACCCTATTTTGATTTCTTATCATTAATACATTGCGAATTATATCACACAAGAAATATCAATGTGCGTGAACATCTACGCTCGTGTGTATTGCGGCTTGCCTAAGGTTTCGACAGCAACTTTTGTTGCTTTTGTTGTTCGGCGGTTTGTAAACCCTATTCGTCGAGACCGTTTGAACCATTTTCACTTTTCATTGCGCTCGATTCCCCGCCCCTTTTCGAAAAACTCCATAAATCAGACTCGGAGAAAGAAGCTTTCACGAAAATACCGACGTAATCCTCGAGGGTCACGGCAGTTTTTAATAACCCTCCCCAAAGTTCGCCATTGTTGCACGATCCCGAGCTCATTAGTACCGAAAACGGTCGCTTAAAAAGGATGCGGCACTGCAAAAAAAGAATAAACCGAAAAATAATCTCGCGCCAAAGTAAACGAAATACGCCGGGGCACTTAATTAAATTCGCAGCAACGGCAGGAAACGTTAAAGAATGCTTATTGTCCGCAAATATTTCCGCAGCAGGAAAGAGGTCGGCGCCGCCTTATTGTCCGCCCCCAACCCGCGACTCTCTGCAAGACGCGTCTTTTTTCAACGACGGGCCGAACTGAATGCAAACTACTGCTATTGTCCCAATGCCGATTCCTGCGGCACGATATTCGCGATTAAAATAACCCTGCGTTTGATTAAAATAGACTGATAAGAAATTCCTTTTTTTGGGCTTGCCCTCGTTTTTGACCTTTAAAGGAAATGTTCCCTTTCTAAACGAGGAGGAACACTGAGGTCAGCGTGTGAAAATATAGTAGAAAAAACCGCTGCTGGATATCTGTTACCCGTTCAGAGAGTGAGAGTGTTTTTTGAAAATGTACATTTTTTAAAAATCGCTATTGCATATTTTGTGTTTCAAGAAAAAACATTTCCGAAATAATTTTTTGAGTATAATTTAACGGTTTAAGTATAATTTTTGGAAAACCAATAGCTTTGTAACAGGAAAAGTGATTTTTTTTGTATGGGACACCCTGCATATTTTCGGATCATTGAAAACAACTTCAAAATTACATTTCCAAAAATATAGCAACATTGTTATTTTGCTGGCGACCGCTTCGGTTTGCAGCGTTTCTAAAAGTTTGTCTACTTTATCTAAGCTTTGGCTCATAATACAGAAAACCAACGTGTTTACTGGAAGCAAAAAGCATTACTTAAAATAAAACTAATATTTACAATGAAATATATCGAATTTTATAACAATTTAAACTATCTGTTAGGGAAAGATTAACTAACATAAAATGAAATAATAACAATTAGAAATAATACACCAGGACCAGAGATTTTGCTACAGGAAAAGTTCAAAATGTCATTCGACATGAACATACGACTTTGGCATTCAACATTCTATCATTAAATTTTCTGAAAAAGCATTTAATTGTGTGGAAATCGCTGTTTAGAATAAAAAAAATGACCTAAAGTGCAAGTTAGTGTTCGTTCCCGCGTTCTATTTTTCGTCATAAAATCGTTGAGATGCGAGTGCCATTATAATTATGTTTTCACATTTAAGTCACAAAACCCCAATATTTTCTTTTCTTTACAAACTTCTTTCTTTTTATAGTACATACTACATAGTACAATGTCAATAAGGTTCAACATCGTTTGCTGTCACTGCATTCTCCCCCCCCCCCCCTCGCCCCCTCAACCCAACTTCAAAGTGTCAAGAACGAAACAATTTTTGTATATTTACCATTCCACGGTACTAACACATTTATCCACGGTACTGACATTGTGTTGTATAAATTTAAAATCAAAAAATCGTTAAATTTTAAAGACTAATGTTATTGAACCAGAATGCATTGTTAACTTAAAAAGTGTATTTCTTTTTAGTTTGATCAAAGAAATAAGAATTTATGGGGTAATTAGTTTAAATCATTTATAGCGACAAAAAAAATGTAATTATATTATATAAAAAATATGATGACATATACAAATGAAAAACATATGACAAAAATTTCATTTGTTGAATTGTTAATTTATTACTATTGAGAACAAACAATAAAAAATCACAGTTAAAACAGAATCACCCATAAACCAAACCATCAGATCCCATGTATCACAATATGACGTGTATCCAGTATGCGTTTGTTTCCTATATTATAAAAGCGCCATCAAAGTACCTAGTCTTTTGGAAGGCCTGTATCGAAGAGTTCGGCGGAAAACTATCAAGTAGCAAGTATCAAGTACAAACGTAATTTTAAAATTCTTTTCAATGACTTAAAAATTACAGGGCGTCCCATATAAACAACGATTGTTCTGTTTATACTTTTTTAAACTATCGCTTTAAAGGAAATTACATTTAAACTAATAAATTTCGCTTAAAAAATTATATTGAAATGTTTTTCTAAAAATGCAAAATATTCCATAGCACAAAAGTTTGAAAAAAATGTGCATTTTTTCTTCAAATATGTGCAAGTGGTTTTCACCATATAATTTTTTATAAAAATCTTCCAATAAAAGTTGCTGATAATTGCGGTTAACTCTTACAGCTTGAATAGCGTGCGTATTATTTGGATCGCTAATGAACGCGCCATAAAATGATCTTAAACTAGTCAAAATAATTAAATGGGCTCAAAGATCGCTTTTCAAAACGTCGGTCATTAATGATACACAGGGTGGTAAAGTGAAACTGAAATTTTCGCAGATACTGGTGGTGTGTAGCCCTAGAAATTATTATTTTTCGAAGTTTAATTAGAAAACTAAAAAGGAAATTGAAGATTTTACAAATAAGAATATTTTACGCCCATAGCTAGTGTGACCTAATCTTTCCAAACAATTCGATTAAAATCAGGACTGCAAGATGGTCAAACCATTAGTTCAACACCGCTTCTGTAATTAAATTTACAAATCTTCCGGATTCCTCCTGCTTCGATTGTTGATGAATCGAACTCGCTGACGTCAGCAAGGAATCGAGAAGATTTGTAAATAATACTAGAGCGGTCTCCGGTAGAGAACAAGAGCATTCTGGAGAATATCTTCGAGATAACTAATATTAAATCTGTACGTGCGTCCCTCGATCCACACGATCACAGAATCTTCTGGATATATTTTATTATAAAACTAAATAAAATATTTTTATTTATTTGGTATTTTGTTAATCTTGCGGTGACTAGAATGTTTAACGCTTCTTCCTTACTAATATACTGTTGTTTGGGCTTCTCTAAGCTTTCACAAAATCCTTTTATACTTTTGGCATGTTCTGGATGTTTTCCTAAAAAGTCTACGACAAACAAACTGAGCATCTTTTATTTAAAATTGCAGTGAATTTTTTTTTAGCTGAAACCAATTACCTTCTCTAACATAAAAACGATTTTTTATTTCAAAATCGTTTCAGTTGCACAGGAAACCGAATGAAACCTAACCACACTAATGCAAATTATTAAAAAGCATTTCAATAGAAAAGCTTCATTATTTTCAATCTCCAAATGTAGATGTTCAATATTAGCAAGCTCTTTTACTTTTTTTAATGGCTCTTATGCCATTTTGGAATTCTATATTGGTGTCCTTTAATATCAGAAGTAAGTCCCCAGTTTTCTAAATAAAAATTGCCCTTATCTTGGTAGATCGTAGCGGATAAATAAATGTTATAATTTCGTGATCGTAATGCTCCAGCAATTATATTCTGAATCCTGTCTAATATCAATTTTGTAAATACAAAAACCAAGATGTTGATGTAGTTTTACCTAATTTGTTCATTTTATGATTATATTTCTGATAAAAATTCGACTTACTTAGTCAGTATTAGGCAATCATATAACAAAAATGTTTACTAAAGTCAATATACTACATTTTTTTTATGTTTGCTTTTCATTGGCATTTCATTTAAATACTAGTAAAATTTGTAGTCAAAATTTAACGCATAACGCATCACCCAAAGTTACAATAAAATAATAATTAAGTTTAAATTAATTGTGTGAATTTAATTTTACAAAATATAAAGAAAATTTTTTAGTCTATGTCTCTGATATTATACTAAGCCTGTGCGGCAGCCATCTTTTTCTGGTCGGTCTATTGATGTTTTGCCACCTGGTTTCTCAAAAAGTGCTAATCTGTGGTCTTCTTACCACATAACCTTATTCGATTAGTAACGGAACGCTTAAATATTTCCAAAACTGCCAAAGCGAGAGATAAAATTCAATATCAGAATTCAAAAATGCTAACGGCAATGTTGTCAGATTTACCAATTAACATCTACGACTTTTGGAGGTTTCTGAACATGGGAAATTTTAGAAGGCAACATTGCTGTTAGCATTATTGAATTCGGCATGTTCAAAAACCAGGCATTGAATTTTATGGTTCCAGCTTTGGCAGTTTTGGAGATATTTAAGCGTTTCGGTTTTCATTCCCTTGGTTTCCCCCCCCCCTCTATTTTTCTTTCTTCGCCGAGAGTTTAGTGCATACCATCGAGGACAGTAGGGGTACACACATAATTTGGTCATTCGAGCCGGATTCATCATCCGCTTTATCTCCATCACATTTGCCAGTATTCTTGCTGAGAAATAACGACTTACTTAAACCTTAAAGCCCTGTACTTCTATACGCAAGGCAGAGTAGCCCGAAGTAATTATTTTAACGCAGTTTCCTGTTTGAAGCGTTCTTTAGCGAGCCTTCCCAAACTTAGCCGCACAAATACTCACTGGATTTTTGCAGATCGAAAACTGCGACGAACGATGAGAGAAACGACGACGAGGCGATACGTCTTGATAAACCAGTGGCGTGCGCGTGGCGACTACAAACTCGTGACAATATGCGGTGAAGTGTAAAGAATATGCGCGCAAAATTGATAATCTCAGGCGACGGCAGGGAAAGACGCCTCTTTCTCTACACGTAATCGTACCCCCTTCGCCCCCCCCATGTCGCCGAGCAACGAATTACCCTCCACCGCCGCCCCCACGTACATATCGTCGCGGGTTTGAACACCACCACCTTAGAGAAACCACATATCATGAGAGATTCTATCGCCTGTTAAAACGAAATGTAGCGATTAGTTCTGTTGTTCTTGTTGTTTGTTATTTGTTAACGATGAGTGAGAGACGCGTCGCGAGTGACACTGACAATATGGCGCCCGCGGTCTCCCACCACGCGTACCAAGACTCCAACGTCGACTACGTCATCAACGAGTACATGGACCGGCTCGGGACGAGGCTCAACATCCTCGAAACCGAGCTGAAATACGCGTGGCGCGCTCTGGACCTCCTCTCACAGGAGTACATCAAGATGTGGGAACGGCTCGAGAAACTCGAGGGTCTCCTCTACGAGCAGCAGAGCGTCATCTCCCAACTGCTGGACTTTTACACGTCGGGCAGCACTCGGGGACCCACCGCGTCTGTGCTCGAAGGCAGACTGAGCGAGCTCGAAGTGATCAGGGAGATCCTAGGCAACGGTACCGTCGAGGACGGCCTCGAAGAAGGTCTGGACGTGTCGAGGTCCCAGCCGGATATCCAAGAGGTGGACGAGGCTTTCTACCGGAGCCTGAACCAGGCGTACCAAGACGAGTTGGTAAACTGCGACGCGGCGACGTGCCAACAGAGCCAGCTCGATATGATCTGGGAGGAACCGGAAGATCCCGCCGACAAGAACAAAGCGCAAACGGAGGAACGCGAGGAAATCTACAGCGCTTTGGACTACAAGGATTACCGCGGGAATTCGTCGTGCGTCAGCGATCAGGATATCGCCGAATTGTCCCGCATAGATTCCATAGACCACATGGCGATAGAGAAACTGAACGAGCTGGACCGGTTGAGCAGCAAGCTGCAGCAGGACAGCGTCAATATAAAACACCTGCAGAGGAAACTGCTCGAGTCGCCAATCGCCGGCGAAATAAAACCGTCTACTGAGAACGAAAACTGGTCTTTTACGAGCAACGTCCGCGACCACGAGGATCTGATGATGTTGGCCAAGAGCGACCTCTCCAACTCCCTGTCCAACGTGTTTCTCTCGACGCGACCCAACTCGAGACTATCCGTCACCGATACGGACAAAGAGGTAGCGGACACTTTGGCGGGAGGTCTTCGTACGCCGACATCGCCTAGGAGGAGGCAGATCGAACACTCGAGCGCTCCCTTTTCAACGGTCGACGGCCGATTGGCTTACAGCGCGGCGGTGCAGCACGTAGAAGCGGCAGCGAGGAACTCCAAAAACCCGTTTTACTGTATGGAGTCTCTGACGACGACGCCCGTCGTCTACAGCGCGTTTCAAATGGACAAAACGCCCTCGCCCACGTTATCCATCTGCAGCGTCCGCACCAGGAAAGACGGTTACTTGGAGCCGGAGGAAAAACGCAAATCTCCCAGTCCGCCGCCGCCCGCTCCGTGCGATTTCACGCCCGACCCTCCGAAGAACGTCTTCCTGGACGCGGCGGACGCGTCAATTATAGAGCCGTCGCGGCTCAGTCCGAAGCCTCACTCGCCGAGGTCGCCCAAAACCTCGCCCAAACGTAGCAAATCGCTCTCGCAGAAGTCCGACTCGGGACTATCGTCGATGAGCGGCTGGTCGAGTCTAGAGAAGTCCCCGGGGTCGCCGAAAAACGGACCGACGAGGGCGTGTTACAACTATTTCAACTACACCAACCGTCCGTCGTCTCCGAACGGAAGAAGCAGGTGCTACGCGGAGTCCTGCGTCGACTCCAAGATACTGCCCGGCGGTCACCATCTGTCCGCGTTCACCAACGTCAAGTCCCCTAGCAACGTCCAGCTCGAAGGATACGGCACGTTCGTGCCCGCGCCTGCCCCCGCCTCCGACATCAACGTCAGTCCTAACAAGAGCAAGAGTGGGGAAGAACCCGTTCAGGATTTTTTTTACGCCAACGAACAACAGCCGGCCATCTATTCGGTAGCCGGCAGCAACAAAAAGGACTCCTATACGTCCGTCTACACGAGCAACAGCGCCGACTACATCAACCAAACGGTACACTATCCCGACCTGATAGAGCCGTACGAGAGCAACGAATTTTTCAAGGCGCAGCCTTCGGTTCCTAGCGAGCAGCAGCGCAGACGATCATTGTCGCGTTCGTTTTCCACCAGCAAACCGCCCGACGGCGTAGCGAACCACGAGGGTTACAAGACGGCGATGTACCGCACCATGTTTCCCACGGGCAACATCACCGACGCCTTATCGTACTATCCGACGTCGTCGCGGTACGCTTTTCCGCAGGAGGCGCAAGACAATGCGAGCACCTCGAGCTCGATCAAGTCCTCGGAAACGCACAGCCCGTACCCGGAAAGGCGTTACCAGCAACAGCCAATTTACGAAAACCAACAGGAGATCGACCAACACAACTGGACGCAACGTCAAGACTTGGACCTGGACTTGAGGAACAGGAACGTGCCGGAATACGTGGTCGAGCAGCAGCAAGGAGCGTCGTACTACGAATCTAGCGGCGTCATCATGACTCAGTCGGGCTACATCACCATTTCCAACACGGAACGACCGTCCAAGGAGGAAAAATCGAAGAAACTGAAACGGGGCAACACTCTCAAGTCGGCGATGCACTCGGTGAGCAATTGGCTACCCGACCTCCACTTGACCAAACGTCACAGGTCGTACTCTTTGCCCGGGGGGATCAAGAAGGAGGACGTGCCCAAAAGTGGCACGCGGAAAAAGAAAAAGAACCCGATAGTGTCGACGGTGTCTGGCATCCTGCAGAAGGCTCGCAGGAAAAGCACCTCGCATCAGTCGTTATCCGATCCGGAGCAGTCGGAGAGCGAATGGGTGATCAGACGCGCGTGCTCGGTTGCCTCGGAAGACGATCGTAGCGAGGACAGCTGCAGCGTATCGGAAAGGGAGCTGTTTTCGAAAATCTCGAGACACGACGAAGAAGATAGCCAACTGCAGACCGTGTTCGAACCGGTCAGGTCGCCCAGGGAGAATCCGGAAAGTAGCGCGGAGGAAGTGTACTCCGCCAAGAGTACCGGCAGCGGTTCCAGCAACATTTTCACGACGGTGGGGGAGGCGAAGAGGAGCAGTTCGTCGGAGAAGAGCGACGAGACCGTCATCACCGACGGTAAAATGGTCGTCGTCGTAGCCGGTTCTTCGATGGAGTTTGCGGTTTCGCGTGCCCTCGGGAAGTACCGGCAGAGACAGTCCAATTCGTTCTCCGACGATCAGATGCCCAACGAGAGCGAAGACGATGGCGTAAAAATCGAGGAGGTTGAGAAAAAGGACGAGAGACAGAGCAGCGTGGAAACGACCGCCGAAGACAGTCCGGTACTTCGGTCCCACGCGAATCGGTTTTTTCCGAAACACCAGCAGAGCTTGGAAATCCCCGGCCATAGGGGCGATGACGAGGACAGCAGGAGCACGCATTCGTGGCGCAGCACGTCAAGAGTGTCGTCCAGGAGACAGAGCACGGAGGACAGTATCGATAGCGAGGACGAGTGGTACTGTTACGAGCTGAGAAAGTTGGAGGAGATGGAAAGGCAGACCCAATTGGAAGCGGAGATGGGTTCGACGCTGCACGAGGAACCGGAACCGGAAGACGACAACTACGAACCGGAAGAGGAAGTCAAGGAGAAGATGTCGTTCGTGCTACGCGAGTTACGCATGAAAGCGAAGGTCGTCGAGGGGGTGCTGGACGAAAAGGACAACAATCTACACGTGATAAACTCGGCGAAGCGTCGCGAGCAACGTGGCTCGTTTCATTTGGACCAAGCGGCGTCGCTCTTCGAAAAGATCAAGGTCTATCACCACGACTCGCAGGATAAGTTGGACGTGCAGGAATCGATGCAGGGGAAAGACGTCGACCGGGAGGAGGAGCATTCCTCGGGCGAGACGTCGGGTCCGGATAGTCCCCACCATAGCACCGATGAGTACGAGGAATCGGAAACGAGAGGCGGCACGGAGCAAGAGGACAAGTCCAAGGAGGAAGACGAATTCGTACACGCTTCGGTGCCGAAAATAGAGGTCGATTCCGCTACGCCGAACAAAGAGGAAGCACCCAAGGAGAGTCCCGGTCAGGGCAGCAAGTGGAAACTGCTGAAAACGTTGAAGGAGAAAAAAGCGGAGGAGAAAAATAGCCAGGTGAAAGTGACGACGGAGTCGGCACCCGTCGACAAGGAGAAGGTAAGTATGATCGGGCTGATGAAGAATTTCTACGAAATTCACGTGAAAACCTAAGCGACGTCACGTAGCGCTTGAACGAAACATGTAACAATAATGCTAAGTCAATTTGAAACTCGCGTCACATTTATATCATATACTTCGTGTACCTCATCGATCTCATATCTCAAGTATTCCATATTTAGACGCTTCAGTATAGGGTGGCCGCTTCCAATTATCGTAAGTGAAAGAACATGTATTTTGATAAATTAATTGATTTTGTCATGTTTGTATCCACTGTACGCGACGTAGTTAGGCATTTAGACTGATTTTGTAGACCGCAACTATTTAATGGACAATCCCTTTGCGCCCCAAGTATGCCGGGTGATTCTAAATGCCGTACAAGGATATTTGTCCAGTATTTTTCATATAAAAATAAATCTTTTTTCTATTCCCGTAATAATAAAAATCCAACATCTTCGCTGCACCTTCGGGTTTAATAACTTATTATTATGACGTGCTCAGCATCTAAGGAAAATATGGAAAAAAGTTCCAAAAGGTCTAAGTTTCTAACATACAGAAGAGATGATGGCGATTTTTTGTAAATATTTTCGAAACACGTAAATATTTTTTAAATAAAATTTGGTACAGTTAGTTTGGGCTCTATTTAACGCGGGTGTGGGGTGAGCAACACAGGGGAGGCGTGCCCCAAATTTTTTCTTTGTCGAATTTTCGTAATTTGAATTGTAGAATTTTAAAATCGGAAGTTTTCTACGTATATAAGGTACGCATTAAGTCAGTGATTTTTGAAAAGATAGGTTAGGTTATTTTTACTAATCATACAAAAATATCTCCCCGTGAACGAAATGCCCCCCTATCCCCAAACGAAATCCTGGATCTACCCCTGAATTAATGTAACAATAGCAGAAAGTCTGGAAACAGTTCGAATACTCCTTGTCGGGCCATCTTAAATGAAATTCAGTGCGTATTCCAAATTACAGTTTCCCTGCGGCCTCCTCTATCCGCGATTACGTTCAACTAAATGCCTATATGTATGAATATCTGCTAATTCTCTATTTATTATATTCAAATAGCTTATTTTCATCTTTAAAATGTGAAGTTTATAATTTTTATTATAATATTTATTATAAAAATTATCTGGACCTCGATTGTAAACATTAAAATAAAAAAATATTTTTTATTATTTTTTTTTTAATTTAGTGCAAATTTTTCCTGCGCCTCCCCTGTATTACCCACCCCTGAGAACAATCGTTAAATAGAGCATGAAAAGTTTCATAACTGTACCAAATTTTATTTAAAAATATTTTCGTGTTTCGAAAATATTTACAGAAAGTCGCCATCGCCTCTTCAAATTTAACGCTCTGTATGTTAAAACCTAGGACGTTTTGGACCCTAGTTTTAATTAACTTTCATCCTTATTTTGATTAAAATATTGACGTCTAATTTTGGGACACCCTATATTTTTAATGATCACCATGAATTATACCGCTTTTTATTACTTATGGACGCAAGGATGAAATGTACGGGGAAAGCATTTCGAATCACCTTGAGAAAAGTCGAAATCTAAAATATCGCTTTAAAAGTTTTTCTCGTGTACTTGGGACGATTTAAGCGCAATGTTAGACTCACTGGGCCAGTATTAGAAAACTATATTTAACCAGTAGCTTCACGAAAAAAGGGCAAAAATTGTGCTAATACTTAGGAAACGCTATTTTTTATACACCTGTGTTAAATGTTTTACTGCGTTTGGAAGAATAAAGACGGTAGGGTTGACCCCCGCCCCCGCACGGGGGGGAGGCTCGTTTTTTGTTTGCTAATTTACCTTTTTTTTTTGTTTTTAGAATGGCTCGATCGGAGGAGACGCTGGGGTCCGCGGAAACATGTAAGTGCCACTTTAACGCCGTTAAGTTGAACTTAATATTGACCTGGATACGGACCTGCGTTTCCACAACACGACACGGTATCGACTGTTTGGTCTTTAACAAAGGAAAAAATCTGACGGGTCCGCGCGGGTCGAATAATAAACTTCCAGTTTATACGGGAGATCGCGATAAGATACGCCCGGCAGCTTTTAACCTCCCCCGTATCTCGAATCGTAAATGCAAATTCTGAATTTTATTCGCCTGTGTTTGTAAAAGTAGAACGCACCGCCTAAAGAAGGTTGACAATTTACTACTAGCACTAAAACGTAACTGAATAAATAAATATCAATACAAAGTTTCATAATTTTTCGGATTTTAGAACAATCAATAAACTTCTAGTAAATTGATTTGAAATAACTGTTAACCAAAATCATTGCAAATTAAAAATAAGTAAATTGATGGGAATAGAATACGCAACCTCCTCCACGTTAGCGACGTTAGCGCTCGCATAGGCAAATTTAAATCAGTATACTTCGACCAGAAATATAGTGCTTTTCCCACCGACCCCGTAATTAACTGTGCCTACTGTTTATTACTCTAAAACCGCAGCCCCTTATAGAACACCCTGCCGAGCAGGCCCTTACCGGCAACCATTCCAGGACCGTCCTAGGAAATTATCTACCTACACTAACAAGCGGTATATAAAAACTGGCGAAGTACCAGCATCTTCTCTCACTTGCCTCTTGACAATCCTCTTTGCAACAATTTTTCTCACAGTTGTGTTCGGAACTTTGGTCATGTCACTAATTTTTATTGCTGCTCTTATAAAATTACAAACATTCAAAACAATTTGTTTAGCATCCGTTTTCGTTTTCGTTTTTTTATTTGCTAAGGTAATTCGTCTTCTAAATTTTCATTAGGTCCGACTACCATCTCCACTTCGTCTTCAAATTCTGCGTTGTTTTCCATGTCGTCTTCTAACAGGGGAACATCTGCTTTATTCCACGGTCTCCACATTTCAAAGTGTTAAAAAACAGGAACCTTCAAAAAATGTTTAATTGGAAGATTCTAATAAATATTTATCTGTGTTCTTATAATACATATAATATATAGTCTGTTGTTGTTGATAAATCGAAGAACTATGTAGAAGACACAAAACTACAAGAAGAAGGCACGCGTACTTACTTGAAGGATCACAACGGTAATATATACAACGGTCTATTTACGTTTCGAATAAAAATGCCAATTTTCTGCCAATATTCCTTTCTCTCAGGCAAGACCTACTTAATGCCACTTAATACTTACCACGGTGCTGCGAAGTTCTGCGTTTAAAGTACTGTAAAATACTTAAAACTTCAAAGCAATAAATGCACTATATTTTTGGTCGTATTATAACTTTTTTTTATTTACTTGCGGCTGCTTTTCGTGTTTAAATAAATCGCGATATCGAATTTACGATTTATTATCCATAATTAATATAATAATAAATGAACTAAATAAATAACATAGGGATAAATATCTTAACAGAAAGTCAAAAATGTCTTCTTCCCTCTTATTTATCATTTTTCATTTTGTTTGTTTATTTTAGCATTCGACTATGAGTGAATTATCCATTCAGTTCAGACCGAACGTGGCATCAATTGTGAGACGTCGATAAAATAATTTTGTCTTAAATTAGATTTAAAAAAGTAACGTTTGTGCAAATATTTCGAAAAATTTTAAGCATGCCTCGGTTAAGTAGTCAAATACGGACCAAGAACAGGAAAATTTCAATAATTATCAATATCGTTAGGGGACTGATAGAAAGACGACCAGGCACATTACTCCTTATTCCTGCTCCAGCGTAACAGGAAACTGTATCTTCTGTCCTATGTACCTTAGCATTCAATTTGTCAGTATATTATCGCAGTAAAGTAGTTTCCACAGAAAATCTTCCAATATCAAATTTGCTATGCAATACAAAACAAATGGAAAATTAAACAAGGAACATGTTTTGTACACAGATATGGCTTTATAAATGAAAACAAAATAGCAATACTCGGATAATCTGTACAATAACGATTTATGTGGTTACTTTGGTAGTAAGGTTAAATGTGAAATATTGTCCTTAGTTCCTGTTCATGTTCCATTGGATATGACTTGCATTGTCTCAAAATGACTGACTTATTTGGAATGTCAACAACTCATGCAAACCCCTATGAATTTGCTTTTAACCCTTTGCACCCGTATACATGTCCTTTCGCGAGTACACTGTACTCGGACTATTATTTTATTTACTTATCTGTCTACTAGGATTTTTTTTTTAAATAAAAAATGCTTTATAAAAACTATGGGATTTTTTTTTCAATATTTTATTATTATTATCATAATCACTACAATTATTATTAAATAAATTCATAAACAATATAAAAAAATCTCGTCAACCGATTTCCGAACAAACTTTAGATGTGTCATTGGTTTTTTATTTTGGACACGTTGTTAAATTTTATATAATAAATATGCATTTACACTAAACCTTTCGAGTCCCCAGAAAAATGACTTTCGCCACCATTTTAAAGACTTCTTGAGGAAACAGTATGACGCTGAATAAGAGTGTGCGCGGTCGACACCTCCCATAAATTTATTGTAATTGACCGCTATATTTGGCTTATTTACAATTTGTAAGTTACCTGTCGATAGGTTGTGTACCTGAAATATGCCAATAACATCAAATTACCTGATCTGTATGCAAATGTGTAAACTTCCGCAAATGTTGGTTTTTTGATAGAATCAGGTATAAATTTGCGATTGATTTAAATAGTACCTGTCAAATATACATACAGTTTTAACCATTCTTCTACAAGTGGCAAGCTCGTATAGTATCTATCTTTGAATTGCTTGTCCAAATAATCTGAATAGTGACTGACTTTCTGAGTTCGAGCCCTAAGAAAAGAAGATGTAAGTGGAACATCCAAAAAATTTGTAAAAATCGTTCTCTTCTAAATATGCTACTAAAAAAGGCATTTTGGCGTTAGAATATTGTCCCCAATACTCTCGGAAATTAGATGAGTTAATCGTACCCATGTTTAGCATAGCCCCACTAAATGCGGTAAATTCTTCTACTATAGTGTCTACCCACGTTTTGACAACCTCTTCTGTGCTATTTTATGTCTAGTGTAGTTATTTGTTTGTTCCACTATTGTAATTATTAGTTCATTGGTAAAAAAGAGCTTTAAAAAATCTGTGGTCCTACCATTTTATCCCCAGCAGTAAATAGAATCCTGTGTGGTACATGATCGTGGCATGTGACATTCTGCCATGAACCAAAATTACCAGGTTTTGTTATGATCTCGTTTTTTTCACTAGTGCTTGAACTTGATGGTTCTCTGTCTTTTAATATCTATAATATCACTACCACTAATAGAGTCACTAATATTATCACTATCCAATCTATCATGTTCAGGCCCGTCAATATAAAAGTCACCGTCACTACTTTGCAATTCAATTTGCAATTTTTTTTCTAAATATACACCTAAAAAATACACCGAACTTTGCCCAATCGTGTTAGCTATAAAACTGACTAATATTCCAAATGCAAAAATGGTGCGCATGTGAACTGAATTGCTTGAAATATATACATCAACAGATATAAAATAAACAGCCTACGATGGCATGTATAAGATAAATGCTATCTTTCATTTTTATGTAAATATGTCCTCAACGAAGGTTCAAGAAAGCAATTTGCTGTAATGATAAGTCATGATGTGCCGCCTATACGAGTGCAAAGGGTTAAACCTCATAATTACTTTATAAATTAAAGAATTTAAATGGCAATTTTTAAATTCTGTAAAAAGAAAAGATTTGCTTGCGCGTCTACTAACTGGCGGGAATTTTCTATGCGAGCATGTATTCTTATTGTGTTGAAAGTTTTATTACGTTATCTGACGATACAATAAATTTCTAGGCCGGGGGACAACACTTTCTACAGCAACATCGACATCAAGCCGGACATCAGACCGGCTCGTCGAAAACAAACCCTGGTGTCCGAGCTGGTAAGTTTCGATTTAATACGATCGAAATTTTCGCCCTAACGCGGATCGACGCGCCGCCGTCGGTCCGCCACTGGGCTGAAACGCTAACCGCAACGGTCGACCCATAAATCCATTTTCATCGCCTCCACTGTACTTGTGTGTGATCGTTAAGTGTACCACCTACTCCTCTGTACGTAACCCGTTTGTTGTTTTCCTTTGCCCATATCCCCCGAAGATCTCGCGCTACACAACTTTAGAGGTCACGACACTCATTTCCTTTCCGGCTATATTGTTGAGTCCATTGACTGTAAGACGTATGTACACCGTGTGCCATATAAAATGACCCGCTATACGATCCGGAAACCCATAGGAGTTACTAAAAAAAGTTTCTAACAAAAGTTTCTTAGACTCTCTTGAAGATCCAAATATTACAATTTTGTTGATACAGGGTGGTCCCCTCCTACATTAACATTGTTATTTTAAATGGAACACACCGTATATATTGACATTTTTTGTTTCGTTAAAATAAATGTCACTTTCTTAAGAAATTTCTATACGAATTTTACATAGTTTGCTCAGAAATTAAGGTTATCTATTTTGATTGACCAATAAAAAATTGTTTTTTTTTTTAATTGAATTCCCCAAAACAGCACCACGTATTTGGGACACCCTGTATAAACTGAAGCGCATTTGTTCTCTTGTGTGCTTAAATTTTCGTTGTAGCGTCACAACACAATTTCATATGGGGCAATCAAAATACATAACCTCAAATTACTTAAGAAAGTTACATTTATTTTAACCAAAAATTCAAAAAAAATTCCAATATATAGAGGGTGTTTTATTTAGAATAACAAAGTGGATGTCGGAGGGGACACACTGTATCAACAAAATTATAGTATTTTAAATTTTCAGGAGAGTCCAAGGAAAATTTGTATGAAACTTTTTTCCGTATCTCCTATGGATTTGCAGTTCATATAGTGGGTCGTTTTATTTGCCACACGGTATACAGTCCGATCCATTTGAGTTGGCGACATGCACGGACACATCCACAATTCAAATTTGTCACAGCGTATAATCCAGTCACAATAGACAAAAATAAGAACTTTGGCAAAATTCGCATAGAGCTGAAAATTGGCAGAGACGGTAAATTTTATAGTGAAGATACGAGCAGATTCAATTCTCTACAAAAATTGTTCAGGCACTTTTTTCTCACGACTCACCATTCGTGAGATATCGCGGTTTCAACTAGCAGAAAATTCATATTTTACATAACATTCACTTAAACGCAACCTATACACGTCATGGGACGTTCAATATAAATAAAAATAAGAAACTTTGGACATTTTGGTCATAACAGTTAGATTGTATTTGATGGTTATACTAATCATATGAAAAATATTAAAACTGCAAAACAACGTCGTCGCACTACAAAAATATTTTCATCTTTTGATATCATTTTTGATCGATCTATGAAAGTTCCAACTCCAAATACTCACAATGAGTCTCGCTTTATTTCAATGTTATGTGAAGAATCTACAGCTGCTGGTATTTCAATAAAACAAGCTGATAATGATGCTGATGTCCTTATAATTGAAACAGCAATAGAACACTGGAAATGTTCAAATACAACTGTTGTTGTTGGGGAAGATGTTGGTTTGTTGATACAATATATTCATTTGAGTAGCTCATAGTCATGTTGCCGGTCCCAAGCCCGGGTAAAGGAGGAGCGTTTCTAGCTTTAAAAAAAATAATCTAGCTCATGGAACTGGGAAAATAGCCTCGAATGTTGGACAGATTAGGGAAGAAACGAAAACGGCAAGAACATGGAAACGGAAAAATATATTAAGGTTTGCATGGTGGAATATTAGATCATGGAACAAGAGGGACCAAGAAATCATAATTGAACTAAATAATCATAAAATCGATATTTGTGCTCTATCGAAAACCAGACGCAAAGGAAAAGGAATCACACAATACGAAAATCACATGTTATTATATAGTGGCTTAGAGAAAACCGATAAAATAACAAATTCGGGAGTTGGATTATTAATAAATGAAAAATTTATACCACACATAACTGTCGTTAAGTACGTAAATAATAGAATACTAATAGCAACACTGAATATTTAAAGAACATGAACGCACCTTATATCGACCTAGGCACCAGATGCCGCCAAACCAGAGGAAGAACATGTTGCCTTCTGCGACCAAATACAAGACGAATTTAATAACATACCATCTAAAGACCAGCAGGTGCAGGTGCATTAAGGGATATAGTGTGGAGAAATAAACATCTAGGAACAGAAACGAAAACAAGAATCTATAAGACATGTATAAGACCAACACTTACATATGCAATAGAAACCAGAGCCGATACAAAGAAAACAAAACAAGCGCTAAGAACAGCTGAAATGAAAATATTAAGATGCATAATAGGAACACATCTAAAATTCAAGATATAGTAAGATGGGGGGGATGAGAGAGAGGAAGAAATTGGAATCAACACGTAACGAGAATGGAAGAGCACAGATCAGCAAAGATCACAAGAGATGGGAAACCCGAGGGGAAAAGATCAAGAGGAGGACCACAAAAAAGATTGCAAGATAGCTGGTCATCAGTAAACACAAGTCATTGGACTTAAAGTAGAGATACACTACATCAGCATTTTTTAAAAGTGGGGAAACAGCAGTATTTAAAATGTAATCATTTAATTAATTGCGCAGAAGTATTTACAAAGATTGGTTCTTCTCAACGCGACATCGTTACAAATGCAAATCGTTTTGTTCTTGCAAAACAGTACAGTTGTCTTGTCTACCTCCAACATCTGCTTCTGCTTGTTAGCATTTGTATGGTGTGTATTATCAAGTTCAAGTGTGGCTAGGTAATGTGCTGAACCCAGAAGAATGGGCTTGGAAATCAATTTGGAGCCAATTCAAAGTCTACCCTCGCCTGCTCCAGAAAAACTGCTCAATACTATTTGCTGCAACTGCAAAACGGGTTGTAGTAAAAATTGTGGCCGTCAAAAAGTGGGATTATTTTTTTCGCTAGTATGCATTAATTATCACGGCATGACTTGCTGCAACATCGAATCCAGAAGGTGAAGAAGAAGAAGAAATAATTGTTGAAGTAGAAGTAGACAATTATCTATTGCAACAACATTTAGAATGAAACCTATTCCGCTGACCATACTTTCAATCAGTACCACACGATCTGATCAAATTTTCTTCATTACAATAGATCGTGGAGTATACTTACTAGGAAACCACGTCAAAAAAACGCCATATATATAACCTCATAGGCGTTGTGGAAATGTGTGCATATCTTACGAATGGTGAGTAGTGAGAAAAAAAGTGCCTTTTTGTAGAAAATTGTATGATCTATAACTTTTGTCTGACCTATTTTCACGATAAAACTTAGCTTTTTAGAGAAAAATTGAAAAAACCTCAGCATTGTACGTTTGATCTTGAATAAAATTTTGCTGTATTTATCGTCTCTGCCCAAATGTTAGTTATTTTGACTGGATTAGTATGAAACTTCCAACCGAGTTGGTTCGACGATTTCCTTGGACCTTGGACCAGCTCGGGCATTAAGTGTTACGTGTAAAACTCGCGTTCTATTCGTGTGTACTATCCTTACTAACGTGCCTATGTTGTTTATTTTCTCTATTTGATGGTATGTGCCCTGGACGCAAAATCTGCAGGTGCTCAAGGTATTAGTTTCATTTGTTTTTCAATTTTTTCAAATTTTTTCGCCACTACAATTTCGAGAACTTTCCGATAACCTTTCGGATCGTCTCACTGCTTGCCTTCTTTATGACTCTTCGGCATGTCGAATGACTTTCTCTGCTTCGTAGTCTTAGTTCTAGTGTAGCATTAGTCACGTAGCGAACCGCAACGATTACGACTTGAAAATGGCGCCCGTTTTGAATGTCTCATCACCTGCACGTTAATTTTCCGAAATTTCATTTTTCACATCATGTTTAATTTTTAATTATCACTATAGGGTTAGTTTCTTATTTAATATAGACTAGCGATTTTTTATTACGAATTTCGAAAGTCGAGTTTCGTTTCGCTAGTCTGATTTTCCGTTGTGTTTTAATGTCCGCAGACCATGGCGCAGACGAAAAGAAATGCAGGCCTGACATCGGCAGTGCCCAGGGCGACTCTGAACGACGAAGAGCTGGTGAGTTATTTGACACCATCAAACTTCACGCGATTGACGATTTTCTTGGTTATGATCGTCGCTAAATCGCCACTGAATTGTCATTTTATTGCGAAGGATGCAAAGATATAGGAAGGGCTGGGTAAATATTACGCATAAAACCCAGTTATTTACGACCGTTTGCCAGATGGTCCGCTGATCGAGAACGTCCATTTTTTATCATCCCCTTGCGTTATTGTGTGTCATAGTTACAAAACAAAACTGTTTCAGATATCTGCCACTAGAATGCAATTTACCTAGAACATTTTTTTTATGTTCCCTTGAGCAGAATCACAATCGTTTAGCCGCAAATGGACTTTTTTATTCTCGGCCCGACTACCGCGCACTTCTAATTTACGGAAAGATATGGCGATGTGCATTTCTGTTACGATGTTACGTATTGAAAACTGGTGTGTCCATAATAACTTGTCGTTAAATATGATTACCAAATCTATGACATTGTACTTCAGAGTCGAGCTACTTTTCTTTTTCTAGGTGTCACTTTTGACCCTAAACTTTCTTTCATTCCACATGTTGAATCCGCTGTGTCTGTCGCGAATAAAATGTACGGGTTTATAGCACGGAACTTTCGAGACTTAACAGATTTACAAACTTTAATGACTCTGTACTACGCATTTGTCAGATCTAAATTAGAATACGGTGATATTATATGGAGTCCGTTTTACCAAGTCCATTCAAGGAATATGTAAAACGAAAATTCTTGAAACTCTTGTCGTTCAGGCATATCCCAAAAAACTGTAGGCAAGCAATTGTTTCCTGAACAGCAAGTTTTCTCGTACTTGTTGACCGGTCAGCCTCCACATTTTAAAGTATTCTTTCTTCTCTTGCAGCGGTTCTTTTATACCTTGGTTTCCCTTTACTCATTTTTTCAGGTTTGAATGATCCTCTTTCAACAAGTATTCTGTATATGTTAATGAATGTCTTAGTGGATGGGATAAGAGTCGATATAGAGCCGCCGTGCTTGATCTGCATTTCCATTTGCTCTTCTGTAGCAAAAATGCATATCGCGATATTCATTATTTGAATATTCCTGACGGGCCGTCACAGCAGCAGTTGGACAATAAGCTCTTTTAATAAAAACGATAACATTTATCGACTTCAAACAAGAGTGACAATTTTCGAGGATTTGTGAGTCTCCTTAAGGCATTCTGTTCTATTTTGCAATATCGAACTAAACAAATGAAATACAGGGAAAATAAAAAAATTTCAAGGTAAAGTGTCCTCTAGTGACAAATTTCTGAAAGACTTTTATTTTGTAAAGATTACTTTTATTTTTCCGAACTCAATTTTCGAACAATCTGTATTACAAATCATGTTGCGTAGAAATGAGTTGAAAACGATTATACAGGGTATTCCGAAAGTAAACGTCAATATTTTAAGCAGGTATTCTGTTACCCAAAATAAACATAAAAGTTCAAATAAACTAGGACCCAAAACGTATTAGTTTTTAACATACAGGGTGTTAAATTTGAAGGGTGTTAAAATATTTTCAAAACACGTAAATACTTTTAAATAAGCTTTGGTACAGTTACTAAACCTTTTAGGCTCTATTTAACGAACTTAGTATTGGATTGTCTTGAGGGGTGGGTAAGAGGCGTGGGAAAAATTTGGCCTAAATTTTTTGTTTGTCGAATTTTCGTAATTTGGACTGCAGAAAATCTTCTACGTAAATAAGGTACTCTTGTCGCATCTCGCTAGAACGCACTGTTTTGCAGGTGCAGATAATGATTAGTAAGCCTTGGAAGTCAATGAGGCGTTTCATTTGTTTGTGTTGCTGGGTAAATAAAACTTAAATGTTAATTACTTATTTATTATTTACAATTTTGTTCATTGTTGGTAAAAAATAGTTTTTACTTGGATTGTTCTTATAAATTATTTTATTAACGAAAGACAAATCAAACTATCAACTGTAAAAATTATAAACTTCACATTTTAAAGAAGGTTGATTGTTGATGAAAAATAATTTATATTATTTATTTTATTTTCTATTTAACTCTGTTGTTTTCAAATAGAAAATTAGCAGATATTTTGTATACGGCTTTTGCAATGGCACCCTATATGTTAAAAACTAAGACGTTTTGGACCCTAGTTTATATGAACTTTTATCCCTATTTTGGGTCGCAGAATACGTGGTTAAAATATTGACGTCTAATTTCGGGACACTCTGTATAACCCGGTATTAGAAGTGAGAATTATTAGACTATAATAGACCATCACATCGTTTTGTATGTTTAAAAGAGCGAATGAGGGGGAGGGGGATATACCCCGAAATTCCCAAATTTAATATCATTAAAAAGGCAGGAACGATTTTGAGTCAATAAAATGTTATAGAAACAATCTATTAAGTGTATTTTCCACCCATTTTTGATTGTTAACCATTCGGCCTCCTTCAGTTTCACCTTTTCTTATTACGACTTTTGTGTGTTTTCTATTCTATTAATATCTATCTACACACGAACTATATACCACATCACCATAGTTAATGTGACTTAAAATCAAGGTGAAAAACGACATTAAATTTACATATGCACTGTTTGGATGCACATACTTATACCTAATATTATTATTATACCATACCTACGTTCCCTGACAAAGAAGTTGGCGAACTCGTGTTCGAATTAAGTCAATAAATTAAGAGTCGATTAGTCGTATCGACGTGTATCGTTGTCGTGATTGTGTTGTCCTGACAGAAAATGCACGTGTACAAGAAGACCCTTCAAGCCTTAATTTACCCGATAAGTTGTACGACACCCCACAATTTCGTGCCTTGGACCGCCACGTCGCCGACCTACTGCTACGAGTGCGAGGGGCTGCTTTGGGGCATCGCCAGGCAGGGAGTGAGGTGCACCGAATGCGGCGTAAAGTGCCACGAAAAGTGCAAAGACTTGCTCAACGCCGACTGTTTGCAGCGTAAGTTTTGCCCGCTGCGTGTCGAAAATTTTAAAGAAACCACTGAAATTTGCGTCAACTTGATAATTAATTTTCTCGCGAACTGCTAATTCGATTTGGATATACGGGCTTTTAACCATCAAATCGATTTATTTTTGACTAACTTTAAATAAATTTACCTAAATTTCGGAGAAGATTCTAGCCGTCGTGCCCCACTTTCCCCTATTTATAATGTTATGTATAATAATTATAATTATTTAATAAAAAAATTCGTTACTGATTAGTAACTATTTTTCTATTGATTAAAAATTTTGTTATTGGTATTTATTCGATTTTGGAAAGCTCTGGCTCTAGGCGAAATCCATAGAATTATCCAAAAAATAACACTTTAAATAAATTAATTATGATTTGGTTATAATAATATGGAATGGCTTTTTTTTAGAATTTTTAAGCTTTCCATTTTACCCCAGGTATTACGCCAAATGTACAAATAACCAGAATTTATAATTAGAAGAAAAAACGAAAAAAAATTTTAATTGTAGCTTAAATCTTCTACAACGATGTCATGAAAAACATTTTTATTTAAATCCAAGTTTTATATGGCGGAGCTTAAATAAAAACACTGTCTAAGTCAATGCACAACCTCCGTATCTTGTTTTTCTTTTTGTTTGTTGTCTTCATTTCTGTAACTAAATAAAATAGGGGATTTAATGTCAAACGAATTTGCCAGACTGCAGCCAGAATTGTCAAAAAATATTTAAATAGGACTTGAACTGAGGAGGCTTTTACTTGATGAAAATCCATTTATCAAAATAAATAAGAACTAAAAGTTCAGATTTTCTCGAAATTATATATTTTGACATGACAATTGTTTCGACAACACATTTGATAAAGACACGAAACACGAAACAATTATCATGTCAAAATATATAATTTCGTGAAAATCTGAACTTTTACTTCTTATTTATTTTAAAAATAAAATATCAACCAAGCACAAATTAAAGGAAAAGAAAACACCCGATATTCGTTTTTTATTTGTTTTTCTACCCCCGTCAGCTTTTAATAGGATCAAATTTTTGAGGTAGTATAAGCAAGAAAAAGCAGATCCTAACCTTCAATTTTGTATTGTTTGTACTGATGGATATTTGACAATGGTACAATTGGTTTTGGAGATATTCATACAAAAACTGTAAAAACCACTAAAGTTTATGCGAATTGTCTGATATTGTCTGATATATTGCATAATATTTTTCTGTGTATTAATTTTTGGGTACATTTTTGCAAACCAACACAAATATATTCTCCGATATGACTGCCAAAATGACAAACGTCAAAATTCGAACCGTGCGGTATAATCTCCGAAAACATCCTCCCAAACCCGTGCGGAAAAATCCCGGAAACATCCGAAGTGGCTCGGAAACGAGATTGACGCGATATTTTACAGACGGGAGATTTAAACTACATTTTTAAACAATATATATCCAAATCGAATCAGCAGTTCGCGAGAAAATTCACTTTCAAATTCGCCAAAAATTTTGATGCTCAATGAAATCGAAAACCGGGAGCTTTTTAAAAGCCGATTGGCTTTCGCTGTCGCCGCTTTCCACGCGCAAATATTTGTCGAGAATCCGCCGTTAATTTCGAGGGGGCGACGACGCCTTTCTAAACCGCCGGCACCGTTTACTCTGTTTAATAAAGGCCAACGCGTCGGTTACAATAAGAAGCGCTACCAAATAGTCTACAACGATATTGACCGTTTAAACCGACGTGCTCGATAGCTGAAAGGCTCGTGTCGCGACTTGCTGCGCGACAGTTGTCGAGTTCGGTCCCCGGCAAAATACCGCGACTTTTTTTCAGATAAAAATACGATTTTAGTGTTTCTGACGTTCCAAATTATTAACGAAAATAGAAAATTAACAAATAGCCGCCATTGCTGCTACGTCACGTGAGTTGCCGCGCCGTTCGAAATAATCGACGCTCCTAAGCCTCTCGTCTCTTCGAACGGCGGTTACGTTTTAATTAGGCCTTTTAGAACAAACACCGTCTTTCGTCCCTGACAGGTATCGAATTTCCGCACACGCTTCACGTTATTCGCGCGTAATCGGTGTTATTATCGACGCCCCGTTTACGCGGCCCGCCAATTTAAATTGCCGCACCGCTCCAGTCCGTAATCGATTAAAACGTTACCCCGTGTTCTAGGGGCGGCGGAAAAAAGCTCGAAACACGGCGCGGAAGATAAGGCCAACAGCATCATTACCGCGATGAAGGAACGGATGAAGCAGCGGGAACGGGAGAAACCCGAGATCTTTGAACTCATCAGGTACGTGAATAAACGGGTTTTTAAAAATCGCCGGCTCGTTTTGTGGCGGTCGAGGTGGGGTTTCGCGAATCGCTGATACCTTTGTTAGAAAAGCAGCTGCCGAATTGCCGGAGAGATTCCTTTTGTGGTTCGATGGGGCGACGCCCGGATCCTATGCGGAGACAATACACTCAACACGTCCTCCCTCTTTACCCAGGGTGGTGTTAATTTAAAGTGGTTGTTTCGGGGTTTTGTATACTCGGTGTTTTGAAGGGATTGCTACGAAGACCGACTCCAATGACCAGGTCCAAGTTTTCGTTACGGCCCTTAGATCTCGATTGTGTTTAGTGTCTCACGGTGCCCTTTGTTGATCTAGGGACGTGTTCGGAGTGGAGGAAAAAAGTCACGCCGGTCACATGAAGGCCGTTAAACAGTCGGTACTGGACGGTACGTCGAAGTGGTCGGCCAAAATCGCCATCACAGGTTTGTCGACATCTAGATTGATGCATCTCGCGTGTGGCGCAGTAAACGATTTTGATGTTGTCGAGTATTGTTGTGTGGTCTGTGTGTGCCTGTGCCGGCGAAGTACTAGGCCTTATTTAAACGTGTCGAGGTGGATGCGCTACCTCCCTGTTGTTAGGACCGCACTCGAGTACAGAGGAGACGTTTGCGAGCGCTCTCCTCCGGACTATAACGCTGAATGTACAACCGCTTTCGCCGTTTTCTCCCGTCCCCCTCCTACATGTGTTTTGGTCGTCGTTTTAAGTTGAAAAAAATTAAGCGGGCTATTTCCGAACGGGACAGGAAAAAAATCACCATAAATAAATGGCGCTGCAGGACCCTCGTCATCGGGGAGAAGCCTTTATATCCGTAGCCCGCGCACATTTTTGGCTTAAAGCGAGGGCCGTTGATATTTTTCGTTTTCGTTAGAGACATTTTTATTTAACCCTGTTCCCACCCTGTCCCGGTTTTAGTTCGTTTTCACCCCGCCCACTCTACTCATTACCACACCATACTAACATCTGGCGCCCATACAACAAACGTTGGTTACTGTATATGTTTACTGACTAATGATTATTTTATTTAGTGCGCAAGGCGGACGCGCCTCTGCCATTTTGTATTGTCTATTTGTTGTTTCCGGTACACCGCATGCGCAGAACAACATTTTCGGTGGATCCCGACACACATATCGATTCGATCGAGCAAGCGAAACAAATGACAATTGAGGGAACGAGCAAGTGGTCTTGCAAGATCGCTATCACAGGTATTGCCACAAGCTGCATTCTAAGACGGACATCTCTCTCTCTCTCTCTCTCTCTGTCTCTCTCTATTATTGTTTTCGTACGATAAGAAACATTGCGAACGCGCTCTCTTCTCTGTTTCTCTCCTCTCTATCTCTCTGTCTCGCTCACACACTGCCCGACTTCTTGATTTTGGTTTGGTACATCCTGTACGAGCGTAGTTGATCCTCTTATTTACGAGTTGCACCGCTTCGCAGTCACATATTAGTAGATGGAATAACCCGGCTCCGCGGTCGAAACAAGGCCGCAGAACCGGCCTTTCCATCTACTCGCGGCAGAAGTTGTCTTGTCTAAAACAGGTCGCATCTGATCATTTGAAAACCGAAGAAATTTATTATTATGGATCAAAATGCGTGGTTATACGACGACCTATTGCGGATGGTTTTGGAAATTATTTTCACATTATACAGGCTGTCTCAAAAGAGATAAAAGCATCAAAATTGTTTTTTTAATAGACTATTGGATTCTGATTAAACCTTAATGGTACTTTTATTTATTTAAAATTTGTTGGGTAAGTAATAGGCAAAAGCTATACCCAAGTTTTTAATCCCAATCAGTTTTGGTAGTTTTAACATTTTAGATCCCTGTATATTTAACAGTACGTACGAACGAATGAACACTTGGAATGCTACTTCCTCGAGTTTAACGCTCTCTTCCATTATATACAGTATGACTACTTCATTATGTACGATTATGACGTTTTTGCTTGGGCTTTCGCATTTTCTTATTCGTTTTTATGGGACAAGCAAAAATGGCGGCCGCGGTGGCATGTACCAACCGACACACGTAATGGCGACGAGGAAAAACTTCGTTAAAACAAGTCATCGTCGATCGCGGTCTTTCAACCCCCTACCTACCAGAATTTTAGCAACTCCTCTACCCTTCTCGTATAAAAAGCTCGTCCATCCATATAGAATGTAGCTGAGGGACCTGCCTGGGATCATTCACTCATATATTCGTTGAATAAAAATCGTTAAAAAGAAAAAGGCCATGCCTGCCGAATGCTTAACACGTCCCACACAACACACACACAAACACAGAGATTGTCGCTCTGATTTTACCACTCGTCTGATACTAGAACACGTCCACGTCCTACACGAATATTTTATTTTGTGTAAGTGTAAATAATTTTGTTGCTCAACCGGCTTTCGATGTAAATTTCTTCACCGCAAAATCACGCTGGCAGCATGTCTCGACCTGTCTATGTAAAACGCATGCAGTTTCTAGCTCACGCCGTGTGACCTCTTCAGGCCTCAGGATAAACAACATAGAGACCAATGGATTAGGCCATTTTTTTTCCTTTTCAGCCAATTCTTTACATTTTTACGTTATGTCTTAAGCTTAAAGTAATGGTATTATCCGTATAATGATTTAGTGACAAACAAACTATATAATTTTTATCTACGTGTAATTATGCAAAAGTTCTGTTACGAAGAAGACATTTTATTTAAATTTAAAAAATGTACAGCCTACGCTACACTACAGAGTACTTTACGCTGTGGTGCATTTGAGGCGCATTTCGGCCCTCAAATAGACATGACCGTCATTCATTCTCTTTGCATTCATTGTCGCTTCTGCATGTTGTTTATTCTGAGACCAAACTCCGCGAATCAACGAAAGGTAGCCGACGAATTACCGAACTCCCGAGTAAGTACACGTTGCTATCATTTGCCACCGATTTCACGACGCTCACTTACGAGATTTCGAACTATTCCAGTGAAGTCGGCTCAGGGATTGATCGCCAAGGACAAGAGCGGCACCTCGGACCCTTACGTGACCGTGCAAGTCGGTAAAGTGAAGAAACGCACCAGAACTATGCCTCAAGAACTGAACCCAGTATGGGATGAGAAGTTTTACTTGTACGTATGCTCCATCTCTTAACATTTTGTTGTATAAAGACCCACCAAGAAGGTTTAACGTTTAAAAATTACTTTGACTTATCGCAATTTATTGAGGATTTTCCATGATTTACGGAGATTTATTCTGATTAATCGAGGATTTAACGAGTTTTATTACTATCATTGAAGTCGAGTTGGTCAATAAGAAACAGAAACGAATTTTTATTAAAATAGTTGCATAAATTGTTATCAAACAGCATGCAGACTACTTAATGACTAATACAGATCGTTCCGAAATTAAACGCCTGAAACAGAACTATAAGTTCTGTTCACGACCTCTTTATTTTTAAGATGCAGGGTGCTAAAGGTGAAATCTGTGTTTAGCAATTTAGTGGTATTTAAAAATCACTCCGCAATAAAATTTTCAAAGGCATTTTACTCTAAATCGGCGCCAAATGCAAGAAGAGTACCTTAAACACATAAAAAATCCCAGATTTTTAAGTTTTTTGAATATTTCCTCTTAACTCAAGATTTAATTTGCTTTGTTTCCAGCGAGTGTCACAATTCATCCGACCGGATCAAAGTCCGAGTGTGGGACGAAGACAACGACCTTAAGAGCAAGCTGAGACAGAAGCTGACCAGAGAATCGGACGATTTTCTGGGGCAAACCATCATCGAGGTCAGTACAGACGTAAAATACAGCCCAGAGGCTTAAGATTCCCGCCTATTCAGGTACGCACCCTGTCCGGTGAGATGGACGTCTGGTACAACCTCGAGAAGCGTACGGACAAGTCTGCTGTTTCCGGAGCGATCCGTCTCCACATCTCCGTCGAAATCAAAGGCGAGGAGAAGGTCGCGCCTTACCACGTGCAGTACACGTGCCTTCACGAGAATCTGTTTCACTACCTGTGCGAACAAAACAGCGGCATCGTCTCCTTGCCCCTCGCGAAAGGCGACGACGCCTGGAAAGTCTACTTCGACGAGGCTCCGGAGGAGATTGTCGACGAATTCGCCATGCGATACGGCATCGAGTTTATCTATCAGGCAATGACGTAAGTGGCACTTTGCACGCCGATTGCGTCTAAGAAAAATGTGGATAAAACGAATTACTGAAAGTTATTTTTATGCTTCGACGATTGGCAAGACAAAAATTTCTAATAAGCTTTCGACACTCCCTATGACGAAAGATAGACGTGGTTATTCATTATATTTTGACACCCACCTACAGGGTTAATTTTGAAAGATAGAATGAAAAGTGTAAATACCAAAGTTTGCAGATTTTTACTCTTCTTACGCAAATGTCAGAAAAAGCAAACGACGATCGTCAGCTGTCAAAATATTTTTTTTTTTAATATATTTTATTAGCTCAAATCGTAGATCTTTTTTCTTCCTAATTTCAAAAACATGTAGTTAATTCACATTTCATTTATCCGTTTTTGAGATGTTTCGGTTTGAAAATAATTATTTTGTTTAAAATTGGTCAAGTCTGCCTTGATGGCAACCATATTATTGACGTTTGCAATTGTTTTAACTGTAGCGTAACTTAAATAACTGAGGTAGAAAAACGCCAAATAATAAAATTAAATTATTCAATCAATCAAATTATTCAATTAATGCTAAACATTTTCCACGTTACCTCCAGTATTTTCTACACATCGGACAATATTTCCTTTCAATTTCCTATTAATACACGAGGTGATAAAATGAGGGTTTTTTCTGTTTAGATCTAGTAAAACAATAATAAGTCTTTCTCTTATCACTTGCAAACTTTCAGGCCTATTATAATAAATTTTATTTTTTAAGTATTCCCCCAAAAAATGTCACAAGGATCAGGTCGGGGATGTTGGCAGGCGTTGTCTACCTATCCAAAGTATATGTTGATTATTTAGATAACCGGTAACCGGTTGGACGTTCTATGGAGGTGAGCCATTTTGATTGAAATATAAATTTAAATAATTCCATTTTCTAACAACTGTTCTATTTCTGTTGCAAGGAAATTTAAATATTATTAAATATATGTAATTGATCCGACCACCATATTGTTCAATATTATTGGTGGACAAAAAATGTTTATTGTTCCTATGAAATACACCTGCTGTTGTGACCAAAGCCTCATCCGTTAATATTATTTTCTTTAGAAAATTTCCGTCTTTTTGAGATCTTCGATATATTTCAGTGCAAAATTCAAACTTCTGCCTTTTATGTTGATCGGTTAAATTTTTCACTGAAATGAATTCATACGGGTGAAACTTTCTGCATATTTTTTTTTATGTCAGCTATAGAATATTCAGGATTTTCTAAAAAATATGAAATATAAAAATTAAGAAAGTAGAACTCAAAGTCGTAATGTCAAGTGTCGTAATAGTATAATAATTTATCCTGAAAGTAAAGTAAAGTCTTCATCAAAATTTCTTACTATTGTCCTGGTCTTCCTCTCCTCCAATTGTTGAATTACTTTTTTAATTGTATTTATTGAAGGGACTCTTCTACCCGGATATATTTGTCGATATTCTCTTTTAACCCTTGAATAATATAATTTTATCATTTGGCGTTTTTCTTCCTCAGTATAACCCATTTGAAATATATCAAGTTAGTTAATTTACCCTGCAGATTTTTAGTTTTGATTAGTTGTCAAAAGAAGAACATCGTTAAAACAATTGCACACATACATAATATGGCTGCTATCAAGGCAGACTTGACCATGGCTATTGTCCAGGAATCGAATGATAATTATTTTTAAACTGAAATGTCTCAAAAACGGCTAAATAACATTGACAATAAACTATATGTTTTTGAAATCTGGAAAAGAATATCTACGATTTAACCTAATAACGTATCGGGCGTTCCATAAAAAAAAATATGTTGCTGTTATTCGGGATCGTCGTTTGTTTTTCCTAATATTTGCATAAGATCATAGAGCAAAAATCTGCAAACTTTCGTATTTACACTTTTTTTCTTCTAGCATTAACCCTGTGAATAGGTGTCAAAATGTAATGAATAACCCTGTACATATTTTTATAACCCGTAAGCATCGACACCCTCTGATCCGAAGGGTCGGGAGGAGGAGGAGGAGGAGAGGTAATCACCGACAAGCGAGTCGCAGCGAAGCCAATTAAAATGGATTAATTGTCGAATTACGTCTCTACAATGTTGATTATTGTTCTACAGGTTAGGGGTTAGAAATTGACTATCATTAGGGGCGGGGGGTGGGGGGTGTCACTCGTTGATCGTTCTTTTCGCCGCTAACGGGGGTTCGATTTTCCAGGCACTTTCACTGTCTGTCGACGAAGTACCTGTGCCCTGGTGTACCTGCGGTGATGAGCATGCTTCTGGCCAACATAAACGCATACTACGCGCACACCACCGCGTCTACGGCAGTGTCGGCTAGTGACAGATTCGCCGCGTCCAATTTCGGGGTAACCCGGCACCTATTTTCTAGAAGTTATGCAGAGTTAGACCCATTTACAAAAAAAGGGACAATTTAGACATCAGTAATTTTCTTCCTATTTCTTCACTTTGCAATTTTTCTAAGGTTTTCGAAACACTTCTGTACAATAGATTATACAATCATTTAAAAAACAATATAACATCAAAGCAGCATGGTTTTATAAAAAGGCGGTCCACCATCACTAATCTGGCAAATATTACTCAAGTTATAGCTGAAAATCTAGACTTGCGATCTCAAACTGATGTCGTTATACCGCTTTTTCGAAGGCGTTTGACAGACTTGATCATGGGATACTTATTTCTAAGTTGAGTGATTATTTTCTTTTCATCTTTTCTAAAATATCGGCGCCAGTGTGTTATATTTGGTGTACTCAAGTCTACAGAATATGTCGCAACATCCGGTGTTCCTCAAGGCAGCGATTTAGGCCCCCCTCTATTTAACGTTTTTATTAATGACATCATCGAAAGTGTTGATGTTATTAATTGCTTGTTACACGCTGACGAGCTAAAGTTGCTCTGCAAAATTGATATTCTTCAGTACTGCCAAAACCTGTCAATGAATATAAAGCGTATTGAAAACTGGTATGTCCATAATAACTTGTTGTTAAATCCCATCAAGTATAATGTTCTCAAGTATAATGTTCTCAAGTATTCACTTAAAAGTAATATTATTAGATATGATTACGAAATCAATAATATCGTACTTCAACGTCTAACTGGACGCTTTTGTTGATATAAGTGTCATTTTTGACCTTAAACTTTCGTTTATTCCTCATATTGTGTCTGCCTCTAATAAAATGGCACGAAACTCTCGAGACTTAACAGAAACTTTAAAGACTGTGTAGATCTAAATTAGTAGTGGTATTATATGGAGTCCGTTTTACCAATTCCATTCAAGGAAGCTGGAATCTGTAAAACGAAAATTCTTGAAACTCTTGTCTTTCAGGCATATCCCCCAATTGATATGAGCAATATTTCGCATCGTAATAGGCATAAGATACCCAAATTAAGTTATTCTTGTACAGAATTATGCATAATCAGGTTGTTGATCCGGGAATCTTATCAAAATTGAACTTTGGTGTTTCCAGAGTTACACAAAGAGTAGATGAAACCTTTGACTTTTAAATTTCCTGCTTTCCACAGAATGTGCGATCTGTGCAACTCGGCAAGTTTCCAGCTTGATATATTTTCTTCTTCTGTACGTGACGTTAAAACATGTTTTTCAGGGAATGGCATAAAATTATTTTTGTTTTATTTTACTGTCAGTTTGCTTTTTTTTTAATTTGTCACTTATGTCCCTGTTCTGTAGTTGGGTTGAACAGTGCATCTAAATAAATAAATAAATAAGTAAAGTACATCCTTATACACAATCTCGACGATACGGCGGTACTCAACGAACTACATTTCCAGAAAGAGAAGTTCGTTAAGCTACTCGACCAGTTGCACAACTCGTTACGCATCGACCTGTCGATGTATCGCAACAACTTCCCCGCATCCAGTCCCGACAAGTTGATGGATTTGAAGTCTACCGTCGATTTACTCACTAGCATCACGTTCTTCCGGATGAAAGTCCAAGAGCTGTCCAGCCCGCCTAGGGCGAGTACCGTCGTCAAAGACTGCGTAAAAGCCTGTCTCAGATCCACGTACCAGTTCCTGTTCGAAAACACATACGAGCTGTACAACCGGGAGTTCCAAGCGGATCCCAATGAGCCGAAACGTGACCCCGAAGATCACGGCCCGAGATTGGACAGCGTCGACTTCTGGCACAAACTCATCGCGCTCATCGTATCGGTGATCGAGGAAGACAGGAACAGCTACGGTCCCGTGCTCAACCAGTTCCCGCAGGAACTGAACATCGGACAGCTGTCGGCTGCCACGATGTGGAGTCAGTTCGCCGTGGACATGAAGTACGCTCTGGAGGAGCACGAGGCTCATCGCCTATGCAAATCCTCCGCGTACATGAACCTGCACTTCAAGGTGAAGTGGTTGTACACGAATTACGTCAAAGACGTCCCTCCCTATAAGGGAGCCGTGCCCGAGTACCCGGCGTGGTTCGAGCCCTTCGTGATGCAGTGGCTCAACGAAAACGACGACGTGTCCTTGGAGTACCTCCACGGAGCATTTACCAGAGACAAAAAGGACGGGGTGAGTACCACCGTGGCGGATGATTCGCACGCTATCGTTCTCCGTTTCTAGTTCCAAAAGAGCAGCGAGCACGCGCTCTTCTCCAATTCGGTTGTGGACGTGTTCACTCAGCTCACCCAGTGCTTCGACGTAGTCTCGAAGCTCGAGTGTCCTGACCCGGAGATCTGGAAGCGGTACATGAAGAGGTTCGCCAAGACGATAGTGAAGGTACTCATAGCGTACGCGGACATCGTCAAGAAGGAGTTTCCCGAGCACCTCAAGGAAGAGCGCATCGTAAGGGTTCCCTTTCTGATTTTTTCTTGCCACAGTGTCCTTTCTGTCTCTATCGCAGGCGTGTATCCTGATGAACAACATCCAGCAGCTGCGCGTGCAGCTAGAGAAGATGTTCGAGTCGATGGGCGGCGAGAAGCTGGAAGAAGACGCGGCTAATATCCTGAAGGAGCTGCAGCAGACGCTGAACGGGTCCCTCGACGAGCTCGCTCAGCAGTTCGCGTGCAGCCTCGAGCCGAGGATCACGCAAAGCGTCAAAGAACTCGGCGATCTCTTGCTGGCGATTAAAGGGGGCGGACAGCCTGGAACTTTGAATCAACCGGCGCAGCGCCAGCAGGTGGCGGTGGAGGCGGACGAGGTGCTGAGACCTTTGATGGACCTACTGGACGGCTCGCTATCGCTGTACGCGCAGTCGTGCGAGAAGACCGTCCTCAAGAGGCTGCTGAAAGAGCTATGGAAGATCGTCATGAGGATATTGGAGAAGACTGTCGTGCTGCCTCCGATGACGGATAAAACGGTAGGGAGGGGGAGGGGGGTGAAGCCCGGGCGGATACCGCGACTGTGACCCGTTGCTTTGCAGATGATGTTCAAGAGTTTGACCGACAACGCGAAGAACCTGGCGGCCAACACTAAGATCGAAGACATGTCGCGGCTGTTCAAGAACCACATGACTGGCAAGCAGGACGTGAAGAATGCGCTTAGCGGGGTCATGGACATCTCGAAGGAGGTCGAAAAGAACCTGTCGCCGAAACAGTGCGCCGTCTTAGACGTAGCTCTCGACACCATCAAGCAGTACTTCCACGCTGGCGGCAACGGACTGAAGAAGGCGTTCCTGGACAAGAGTCCCGAGCTGCAGAGCCTGCGGTACGCGCTCTCGCTGTACACCCAAACCACTGACACCTTGATCAAGACATTCGTCACGACCCAAGTCAATGAAGGTGAGTTGTTGTTCCGGAGCGGGTCCTTGGACGAACCAACCGCCTACACACAAACTACACGATTTTCTGTATTTCATATCTCAAAGTGCCGCTAAACAATAAAGAGACTATGCTCCAGCGGCAAATTTCGATCGATCGGGACGAGCCGGACGCGCCGGAAACGGAAGCGCTCGAGGAGCCACTGAAAGCGAAAAAACCGAAAGAAAAGTGGCCAGGTAGAGGGGGGGTGGCCCCGGCAGTTGCTGCGTTTTTCCTTCTTTTTTCGTTGCTAGTTTGGTTTGGAGGCGGAACCAAAGAGACAAACCACGAATTCCTTGCTATTTAGGGAGAACCAACATAGAGCGGCTATGAGAGTGGTTCCTGCTATAAAAAAGTAAGCTGCCAGGTTTTAAGAAACGATTCCTTGCGTTATTTTAAGACGAAAAATTCATATAAATATAGGTTTTATAACTTCTAGATAACTTCCGATATTTTTATCAAATTTGGGTGAACATCTTTTAATTATTGAGATGCGGTTTTTGACACCCATTTTTACCAATGGTGTCCGCACGGGGTTTGAACTGAATATTTTTAAAGAAAAAAATGGCACGTCACTGCTTTTTCTGAAAACAAAAATTATTTTTAATATCCCCAATCAATTTGGAGCAAATTTGGTGCATGAACTTGCTCTCGTACGACGCAAATACAATTTTGCAATGTTAATTTTAATGTAAAGTCCGCTCTATTTGAAAGTCGGCACGCGTAATGCTATGACTAGTACCCATAAAAAGAAATAAGTATAATTTGTAGTGATTCTTTTTTCACGGTCATGTATTTTATCTCTCGTACTTGTTTTGCGACGACGCTTATGATTTCAATTATTCATCATTATTAAATGTACTTTTTCTTAATTAAACAAGCAATTTAATGGGAAAATTTAAGAAACAACAATTTAATCGTCAAAAAAAAAAGTGTCAAAGTGGGCTTTGCGCTAAGCGACAGTAATTCATTTGTCCATAACAATAACATGACATTTGTCAAATTTTTAAACAAAATTGCACTTGGTTTGTTTGCTGGTGGTTTTTAAAAGTTTATTTAACAAATTATTTGTTTGTTTTGGTGAAAATGGTTCAATTCACAAACCGTGAAATGGCAGGTATGCACTTCGTGTATGGAATGGCTCATGGTAATGCTCGTGCCACAAGACGGATGTATAAAGAAAGATATCCTAACCGTCCGCTACCTAACAGAGAACTTTTTGTTAATATTCACTCCAAACTTGGTACAACGGGTAGTTTTAAGAGGTCTACTGCTCTTATAGGGAGACCAAAAACAGTAAGAACGGTTCAGATAGAGGAAGCTGTCATATATGAAGAAAACCCAGAAACTAGAACGAGAAAAATTGTTTACCGACGAGGCATGCTTTTCCCTTAACTCAGTAATAAACTTCCATAACAATCATGTGTGGGCCGATAATAATCCTCACGCAGTAATTGAAAACCATTTTGAAGAGCAATTTTCAATAAACGTTTGGATTCGAGTTATAGGGGGTTTCTTTATCGGGCCTCACTTTCTGCCCGGCAGACTGACTTATTGGTGAGCAGTATAGACAATTTATTGAACACGTATTACCTGAAGTTTTGGAGGATGTCCCGCTAGAGCAAAGGCGTTCTATGTGGTTTATGCATGACAGCGCTCCATCGCACTTCAATTTAGTAGCACGTTAATATCTATATGAAAATTATACTGATCGCTGGATTGAGCGTGCTGGACCACATTTTTGGCCACTCAGGTCACCTGATTTAAATTAAATAGATTTCTTTCTCTGGGAACACTTAAATACATTAGTCTACACAACACCAGTCCGAATTGAGAAAGATCTAAAACATCAGATAGAAGACTCTTGTACAGTTATTAGGAACACTTCTAATATTTTAAAAAGGGTTCGCCAGTTCCTCATAAGGCGTACAAACGCATCTTTCCAGCAGTTGCTCTAATTTATTATTTTCTGGGAGAGTATTGTTTCTAAAGATATTTTCTTTACAGTTTTTTTAAGCCAAAACCGTACGTGCGTACGAAAGCAAGGTCATGCACCAAATTGTGATTTTAAAAATCATTTTTGTTTTTAGAAAAAGCAGTGGCGTGCCATTTTTTTCTTTAAAAATGTTCAGTCCAAACCCCGTACCGACGCCACTGGTAAAAATGAACATAAAGCTTTTGTGTCAAAAACCGCTCCTCAATAATTAAAAGGTGTACACCAAATTTGATAAAAAATATCGAAAGTTATATAAAAGTTATAAAAGGAAAACTTTAACACCCTGTATTTTGAAAAATGTGCATTTTTGGACCTATTTTTATATGAAATTTTTGTCTTAAAATCACGCTAGGAATCGTTTCATAAAGTTTTGGCAGCGTACTTTTTGTGACAACGCTAGTTCGTGAGTCTGTCTCTCTCTGGTCCCGGTCCTCCTCTTATGTAGCACACAGTTTATCACTCTTAGGGTGTTTTGGTCCGAACAATCGACGATCGGACAAGTCCGTAGACAGTTTTGTAGAGGTTAATATCGGCGACGTATCCGCGCAGACGTTAGAAGAATTCGTTAGGTAGTTGACATTTGTTGACTTAGTGCGAGCATGCGCATACCGTTGGGAAGGAGCCGGAAGAATAGAAACCATACCACAAACGTTTATTAGTACTCCCGCGCGCATGCCATTTTCTTCTTCGAGAAATATTTTGCGACGCACACCGCACGGTGGGCCAGGAAGAGCCCAAACTATTCAAATGAGCCCATAAAACATTTCGTACAATGAACGTTTTCCTTATCACAGCCTAATTCAGTAGGCCACGAACCTTCACAAAACAAGCGATTTAGGTCGTCTTGGTACCATGGAAACGTCAACAATATTTTTCTTGTTGTCGGTGTCATTTTGAAAATATTTTATTTATACAATTTTCCGTGTTAAAAGTGGAGGGGATTTTTTTTAAGAAATTAGCTTTTGACAAAATTCGAAATGCGGGAAGGTAAGTTTTGAGACTAATTTTATGCTAAGTAAATTACTCTTACAGGCAATCATTCTTAAAAAATTATACATTGTTTTGAGTCATATAAAAACAATAAGCCAAAAAAGTATGTTTGTAATCTATTAAACATATGTTACAATTTTAGCATAATTTAAATAATAAATAGAGAGTTTTTTGCGAACACCCTGTATAATAATTATATTGTATTAAAGTTTGATGATCGTAATCATTTTTTTCTTTTTATTGTTATGTTTTTATTAATATTCAGTAAAATTTATTGGCATTACAAAAAAATCGAATCAGTCAAACACCTAGGGTTTCCCCGGCCCACCGTGCACCGCCGCTTGCATTCAGTTCAACGACATGCTTATATATACATGCTTATATACGCGCGCCAGTGGCGTCCAATTAGACATTGCGTTATCGAACCAAATTTCAGATACCGTCGACGGGCAAGAGGGCAGCGTGGGCGAGGTCTCTATCCAAGTGGACCTCTTTACTCACCCCGGTACCGGGGAGCACAAGGTCACCGTCAAAGGTGAGGATTTTCTAAATTGCTAGATGCTAGATACCAAGATTTTATTCGTTCTTGGTCGTCAGTGGTCGCTGCCAACGATCTGAAATGGACTCTGGTCTCGGGCATGTTCAGGCCATTTGTCGAGGTCAATCTAATCGGCCCCCACTTGTCCGACAAGAAGAGGAAACACGCGACCAAGTCCAAATCGAACAACTGGTCGCCCAAGTACAACGAGACGTTCAATTTGTAAGTGAATCGAGACGTTGCGGGTTTCTAGCCGCTGCAATGAAAAAAAAAATTGCAGCACAATCGGAAACGAGGAGCAACTGGATTACTACGAGCTCCACATCTGCGTAAAAGACTACTGCTTCGCGAGGGAAGACCGCCTGGTGGGCGTGGCGGTCATGCAGCTCAAGGACATAGTTGATAAGGTAAGGGTACTGGTTAGTAGTGGCGAACACCACCAGGAGGTGCTAATAGATCTTTGACATTCTTACCGCTTTTTCCTGCAGGGTTCCTGCGCTTGTTGGCTGTCCCTCGGCAAACGCATCCAGATGGACGAGACCGGCTGGACGATCCTGCGGATCCTGTCGCAACGCACAAACGACGAGGTGGCGAAAGAGTTCGTCAAACTGAAGTCGGACATACGTCAGGACGACGCCATTCCCAGTCAGTAGGGGGCGCGTAGTTCGCTCGAATGTGCCTCCTCCACCTCCTCCTCCACAATGCAATAAATCCCACCCCCTCCCTTTGGTCCCGACGACAGGGTGAAGTTTCTCTTGCGTCCCACACCGCGCGCCGCCCCCGGGGCGCCGTTTTGTACTTAAAAATGTGATTCAACGTAGCATCTAAGGTCGCGACAGGAATATAAGTGTTTCGTGTATTTTTTTACCGCTTTTTCCCACCCTCGCCCCGTTACCCTCCCCCCTCTACCGGCACTTACATATCGGCAAAGCACACTGGCGCACCGTACACCTACACGCGAACCTAATTTTCAGTATTAATCGGAGAAAAAAGGGGAGGAGCGTCGGGTAACGGGGCGGGGCACGTCGTTATCCCCCCCCTCGAGGTTCATTGTTGTCTCGCCCCCCTGTTTTACGCGCCACTGTGATATTGGAACGTCCAGCCCTGGTCACAGAAAGACACGTCGAGCACGGTGCGGTTTTAGATAAGAGGAGGGACGAGCTTAAGTCGTCATATCAGACTATGGGGACCCCAGTTCGTGGAACTTCGTCGGAGGGGTCCATAGAGTAATATTATTATCTGATTTGGTCTGTCGCGCTCGGATGATACAAACGTCACTTGGTGACGCTTTTCGGACCACCGGTGAAGTTTCTCGAAAAATTGAGGCCCGTATCGGTGAGAAGGGACCATCGCGTCGGTTAGGTTTAACGTGTGCGTGGGCGTGTGTGTGAGTTTGTTGTTGTAATATTAATTTTAAACTCGTTTTTGAATAGCGCCATCTAACGTGCGCACGCTTAAAGCATTATTGCATCATTTTCATTAGTTTAGTTTTGTTGGTATTTCTTTTGGTGGCTTTTTTTTTTTTCGGGTTTTTTGGAGGGAACCCGCAATCAAAATTTGTTGAAATAAAGGTCTCCAAAAGTAATTTTGGAGGCCATGATTGCATAAATATTTTTTTTATATTTTAATTTTGACGGTTTTGGGTTTCGCTTTGTTAGTTTAGTGGGCCCATTCATATAAAATTTATATACATTAAAAGCGAAGAATACTAGATAGAGTAAAAAAAAAATTAATGAAAATGTAGTAAACGATCGATGTGAAATGTGCACACAACAAACCAAGAATTAACAACTCGTTTTTCCAACACAAACCTCAACATACGTATAGTTGGGCAGATATAAGAGGATGGAAATCAGTAATGGATTCTATAATAACTAATAAAAACATACAGCCTAAGAGCATACTGGATATTCGAGTACTATCCTCGGCCAACATAGGATCAGACCATCAATTAGTGTTAAGCAAAATCAGATTACAGAGACCACCTTTGATGAAAATCCGACCAGAATTCATAGAGAAAAGTAATATAGAATCACTAGAAAACGAAAGCACAAATACTCTGTATCAAAACAGACTAGAATTAAAAATAGAAGAAAACCAAATAACACGTGCTGGAAAAAAAATAACAAACAGCTTCAAGAGAAGCACTTGGAACAAGAAAGATAAATGTAAATAACATAAAAGTCAACAAACCCTGGTAAAAGTCATATGCAAAGAAAAAAGAGACGCATACTTAAAATATAGAAGCGACAAAACGCCAGAAGAACACGCAAACATCATACAAGATACAAGAAACCATCAAGCATCAATCAATCAATCATCGGATGTTGGACAGATTAGGGAAGAAACGACAACGGCAAGAACATGGAAACGGAAAAATATATTAAGGTTTACATGCTGGAATATAATATCATGGAACAAGAAATCATAATTGAACTAAATAATCATAAAATCGTTATTTGTGCTCTATCAGAAACCAAGGGAAAGGAAATTAAAAGGGATCACACAATACAAAAATCACATGTTATTATATAGTGGCATAGAGAAAACCGATAAAATGACAAATTCGGGAGTTGGATTATTAATAAATGAAAAATTTATACCACACATAACTGTCGTTAAGTACGTAAATGATAGAATACTAATAGCAACACTGAATATTGAAAGAACCTATGCACCAGATGCCGCCAAACCACCGGAAGAATACGTAGCCTTCTGCGACCAAATACAAGACGAACTTAATAACATACCATCTAAACACAGAATAATTATTATGGGAGACTTAAACGCAAGAGTGGGAAATACTAGATAGAGTAAAAGAAGAATTTATTGAATATGTAGAATGAAGAGTAAAAGAAGAATTTATTGAATATGTAGTAAACGAACGAGGGGAAATTCTAATAGAATTATGTGCACACAACGAACTAAGAATCAACAACAAGTTCTTCCAACACAAACCTCAACACACATATACTTGGGTAGATACAAGAAGAAGGAAATCCGTAATAGGTTACATAATAACTAATAAAAACATACAGAACTTAATGGATGTTCGAGTACTTTCCTTAGCCAACAGAGGAACAAACCATCAATTAGTGTTAAGCAAAATGAGATTACAGAGAGCCCCTTTGATGAAAATTCAACCAGAAAACATAGAGAAAACTAATATAGAATCACTAGAAAACGAAGATCACAAAAACTATGTTCCAAAACAGACTAAAATTAAAAAAAGGAAAAAAACGAAACATAATGATGATGTAGAACAATGCTGAAAAAAACAAACAACATAATAACAGCTTCAAGAGAAGCACTTGGAACAAGAAAGATAAATGTAAATAACAAAAAAGTCAACAAACCCTGGCAAAAGTCATATGCAAAGAAATAAGAGACGCATACTTAAAATATAGAAGCAACAAAACACCAGAAGAATAGGCAAACTATATAGCAATAAGAAACAGGATGAATGCCAGGATAAAAACAATCAAAGATGAATATTGGGAAAGATTCACGAAAGACATCGAGCACGATTTTTATGGAAATCAGAGAACAGTGTGGAAACTATTAGCTATAAATGAATACATAAAGATTACCTCAATAAAAATGGAAGAAAGCACAAAATACTTTAAAAATCTATACAACTCAAAAGAATAAAATGCTCAAGACAAAACAGAAACAATGGGCTGAAAAAAACGTAAAGCACCAGAAGAAAACACTATCACAAACGAATAAATTAAATATGGAGGATCAAAACCAATAAAGGAAATAACAAAAATTTTCAATAAAATAATTAAAGAAGAAAAGACACCTCCAGAGTAGAATAAAAGTTTGACTACATCAATATTTAAAAAAGGAGAAAAGAACAAGCTATCAAACTATAGGGGAATATCATTGCTAGATACAATATCGAAAATTTTCACCAAAATCATCGCCGAAGAACTAAGAGCAACAATTCCGATATGCGAAGAACAACAAGGTTTTAGAAAGACAGATCAACAACAGATGCCATCTTTATAATTCGCCAGTTGTGGAAAAGTCAATAGAATACAACAACCCTATCTTCATGTCTTTCTTGGACCTAATAAAAGCGTTTGATATCTAATAGCGAAGACAACCTACAAAGAATGCTACACACATTTATAATAAAACCGCAAAAAGATACAATATGGCAACACCAACAGAGAAAACTGAATGTCTATCAGTAACTAAGGAACCAATAAGGGACAATCATAAAGCAAGTAATGTAATCAAGACACTTAGGAGTAGATGTAACAAGCCACCGAGATATTTACCAAGAGAAGATATACCAAGTAAGGAACGCAGCAGCCACAGCAGCAGGTGCATTAAGGGATATAGTGTGGAGAAATAAACATCTAGAAATAGAAACGAAAGTAAGAATCTGTAAAACATGTATAAGACAAGTACAAGTACAAGTATGCCATAAAACACAACAAGCGCTAAGAACAACTGAAATGAAAACATTAAGATGCAAAATAGGAAAGACTAGACGAGACCATGTAAGAAACGAAGATATCCGGCAACAATGTAATATTCATAGTAAGATGGGGACGAGAGAGAAGAAGAAATTGGAATCAACACATAACGAGAATGGAAGGGCACAGAATAGCAAAGATCACAAGAGATGGAAAACTCGAGGGGTAAAGATCAAGAGGAAGGCCACAAAAAAGATGGCGGGATATCTGGTCATCAGAATCACAAATAAGATTAAATATTACCCAGTAAACACAAGTCATTGGACTTAACGTAGGAATAAGAAGAAGAACAGCGAAGAGTCCTTCAAACTAGGAATACCAGGTGAATTTTTTTGTTAGTTTTTAGAAATTTTGTGAAGTAAATTTTATTTAAAGGGCGGCCCAAACAAAGCGTCTCTTTGGGTTTATTGAGGATAGATTATTTATTGCGGGTGTACATCTTTGAACTAAGTAGTGGTGATAGATATTTGAAGGTGACAATCTTGTGTCAAAAGGAAGTCTTTTTTTTTCGGTAAATAAAGCATTTATATCTTTCGTACGATGAAACCAACCAACCAAAGAAAAACCAACCTCGTAACGCTATATCATGAAAATCCTTAATTGGCCTCCCTCTGGCTTGCACCGTAAAACTAACAGAAATAATGCAATAAAAGTTTAAACGTGCGCACGTTAGATGGCGCTATTTAAAAATAAGTTCAAAATTAATACCTCGACAATGTGCGTGTGCGTGCGGGTGTGTGCGGACACAAAACACGCGCAATCATCCCATCATTCGTTCATCGTAATAGTTAAGGCCGTAGCGGGTAAACAACTCTATCTCTACTCTCACACGTGCTACAATTTTTGAAACAATAATTAATACGGAGAGGGTCCGCGTTATAATATAAAATATACGTATAGGTGTTTCAATTTCAATTTTCGATCTTCCTCGGTATAAGTCTTTGAGGTGAACGCGCTTGTTTCCGTTTTATAAGCGAAATGACCAAAAGTAACGTCTTATAATATATCGTTAAGGACACTTATCTGCTAGCACTTGTAACTTGACTCTTGTAAGATACTATCGTACGTGTATAAAACAAAAACAAACTAAATTAACTTAGCCTTTTCTCCCCCCCCCCCCCCCCCCCCCACTCCATCGACCCTTTAACTCCTTAATCATCACTCCTCCAGGGACTTTGACTATAAAATGTTACACGTGGTCCTTGACATAATTATTATTATAAGAAAAATATCCTTTTTGTTACGATAAATGGGAACTGTGTAAATACAAAAGTTGTTGTAAAAATAAATCGCCATTTTTCCGGATTATGAGATATATGGACCATGTATACAGCGGATCGGGGCGCAGCTGAATACGGCCCCGGATCACCACGATTCGTTATCAACTCGGTGTGATTATTTTTTGCGTTTGTCTACTGAATTATATCGCATTACACTAAATATATGGTTTTTTGTTATTTGCTTTCGTTTTTTTTTTAACGCGCAGCCGCAAACCCTCCCCCAGTGCGAGTATATAACCGTTCTAATTTTAAAATTTAAAATTTACGACATATGTACCGAACGTTCAATTTAACTTGATAACATTTTAACTTGTAACATTTTTGTTTTTAGAGATATCACGGTAATAAACAAAAAACACAATATAGGGTTAGTAGCCAAGTTTTTTTCCAAGTGACGTATAAAACAAAACTATAAATTTTGTGACAGGCCTACATCATATATTTTTAAATGGAACACCCTGTATATTATACATGTATTTAATAGACTGCCTTATGCCGATTTTTATACAGTGCGGTGACTGACTGCAACAACAAAAATTATTTACAAATTTAAGTAGAAGAAAAACACTAAAAATGACAAGACACAACAAAGTAAAAAAATCTTTAACTATTCTATATATGACACATTTCTCATATACACATATACAAAAAAAGAACATTAAAATCGGGGCTGTTGGCTGTTCCCTATCCAGCTCCTTGAATATTTCATGTTAAGAAAATTTTTAACTTGCACCAACATACTTCTTGCTCTAAGAGTTGGAAATAATGATCTCCAGTTAACTTTTGATCTATAAATATCGGACCCAAAATATGCCCATCTATGACACCACTCACCATTGATTAGTATCCCAGCGTGTACTTGCCTAGGATTATTTAAAGACAAATATCGCGTATTTTGTCTATTACAACCCTTTCTTGTAGTGAACGAACTTTCATCAATCCATAAAATGTTTTTCAAAGAACTATTATTCTCATTACGTCTTTTTAAAAAATCCAAACAAAACTGCATCCTCCTTCGACATTGTTCTACACTTAGTTTTACTAAATTTAAATGCATTTGATTGATCCCCGAAAAATACCTGTCCCTTCTTATACTCTAGTAATGGTATTAAACTGGATGTGCTTCAATAAGTTTGCCTTCTTTTTGTTCTGTTAGACGTAGCAACATAGCATGTTAACGTTCCTGCCGTAGAAACCCCTAGGATTTAGTCTATCCTTAGCATTCAATACGAATCGATGCGCGAGCGCCCTGTCCTCAGGCAACGCACGATAACCGGCATTGTAATAATTTCAAGTCATTACAGAATAAATCTTTAGTTTCTGAACTAACGTATTCATTTAACTGTCGCACGAACCCCCGACAGAACACCTTTCTTCATTTAAAACATTATGATTCCGGCATACCTTTTCAGCATTTAATACGTTACGGTTTTCTGCAAATTTCTTTGCCAGCCTTGGAAATATCTGTTTTGAAGGAGCTCGGCGCTGTGGATAAAGTCTATACTAACGACGAGCTGCGGTTGAACGTTTATTGTTCACAAAGTATACTTGAAGCATCACAGATGCAAAATTCGCAAAAAACGTTGTTGCACTCTTCGAAATTATATATAAAATTCATATTTTTGCCGATTTGTCAAAAACGGCTGTACTAAAATATAAAGTGTGTTACATCATTGTAATCGCAATAAGATATTCTATTAAACACCTATATAATACACAGGGTGTTCTATTTTAAAGGCTTATATGTTATATGTTACATTTTGTTTTTTTGTTTACCTTGATATCACTAAAAACAAAAAAGTTATAGCCAATTAAAATGTTATCAACATAAATAGTAAGATTTTTATGAAATAAGGATCATAAAATATTGTAAACCACAAAAGAATTGAAGTATAAACCATTTTAACCGAATAACTGAGAGATTATATAATATAAAATGATAGATTCTTACCTTAGGTGTGTACGTACCACTTATAAAATAGGGAAGACTTGAATGAATACGAATGAATAAAAGGTACACCAATGGAAAAATAATATATAAGAATTGCACATTGACCCTTTCAAGCATAGTGGTGTCACTGATAAGCCTTTGCTTTGTCAGTTTTTACCGTTAACCGACACCATCTACTAGTGCCATCTGCTGTCAAGTAACTGCACTAACAGATTTGCCGTATTTTTCATTTGTTTGAAATATTGGCTAAGCAATATTTTATTTGATTTATTTGGACTGTTAAACTGAAGGTAAAAAATGTATATTTCGATTCGTTATGGACTCAAAAATTTTTTTTTTGGTTTCATTGGCTGAAATAAACCTTATGTTCCTCCTGGAGCGCCCTCTATACGCCTGTTCATGGTAAGTCTAAACGTTGCGAACATGGACATACAATACTTATAACGCACGTTTAGGTCTCAATTCAAAAAGAAATGTTTTGTTGCATATCATAGCACTTAATATTAACGTTTATCTGTAAAAAATATATTCTCATTTAAATATATTACGTTAGATCACACTAGTAGAAACAATAGCCACAAATCATTACTTTTAGGTTAAGAATATCCGAGAGAGTATCATTTAATATTATCACTGAAGGGTTAATATTTAATTTATTTTGAAACTTATGTAGTATATATAATGTTCCTGAAGGACTTAAATAATTTTTGTATTTTAATTTAGAATGTTTGGGGTGTAGCTTCTTTGGTTTACTGGAAACATCATTATAAAGTGTGTATACAGTGACTCAGAGCTTAAATGATGCAGTCGCTATAACAAAAACTAACTGGTCTGAATGTCTCTTTATTTGTTTGGCAAAAAACAACTTATTGAAATGAAGTTAGTAAAAAGCCTCCTAAAAAAGTGCGAATCAATCAGTTTTTGTCTTAAATTACTTAATTAACAATAAACAATTAATTGAAAAATATGCAATATTAACGTCACAGCTTAAACGATGCAAAAATAATAACCGAGGTCAAAACTTATCAGTTTTAAATTTACCAAGGCTTTTATTTATTACTGCAATTGTTTTATGTTTAGTTTGACATTTTAAAACCCGTTTTCCTTTAGCAAAATGATTTTCTTTTAAATAGGTAGTTGGACTACAATTTTTGAGAGAAATTTAATTATTACTCATCACAGAAATGCATCCAGTCAAAGAGACATAGCGAAAATGGTAAACAAATGTCCCTCAACTCTTCAGCATATCATTGAGCGATACTGTAACGAAAATAGGGTAGAGAGTAAGTCAAAGTTAGCCCAAATAAGATCTTCAATGAACCTGAGGAAAGATGGAGATTGAAACAATTCGACGAATCCTGCGAAAAAAAAATTTATATGGTCGAAGTGCCAGAATAAGGCCTTTGATTAGCCGAAGAAATAGATTTGAACGTCTGGAATTCAGTAATATTTTGTAATGAGACCAAAACAAACTTATTTGGATCCGATGGAAAAATATCAGTACGGAGAAAGGCTAAGGAAGAATTAAATTTGAAATGTTTAAAAGCTACGGGAAAGCACGGGGCTGTATGTCATCTGCAGCATTTCATCGAAGGAAATATGAACCAACATGAGTATTTGAATATATTACGACAGCATCTGGTTGCTGGCGCCCAAAACTTAAATATGGGTATCAAATATCGGTTCTATCAAAGCACACGTCATTTCGGGTCCGCAGTTGGTTGCTTCATAACTGCCCAAATGTTATTAAGACGCCGGCCCAGTCACCACATTTAAATATAATTGAAAATTTGTGGTTGACATTAAAAACCAAACTAAGTAGTGCCACAATATCTAACAATAATGAATTAAAAGTAAAAATTACTGAAGTTTCTCCGGAGTATACTAGAAAATTAGTTGAATCAATACCTAGAAGACCACAAGCCGTTATCGATAATGCGGGATTCCCGACTAAATATTTGGTTATCGTTTTGCATCATTTAACTCTTAACTCATTAGTTAAGGTTTTCACGTCCACGCTACCGCGCAGAATTTCAGAGGCAATTCATCTCCAATGGGGAAACCGGATAATCGACAATGGCTTTTAGACAGGACAACAAATTCTTCAATAACTCAATAACGAGTTTTATATATACACATAAATAAGCAAAAGACCAGAATCCCTATTAACAACCATCATTTTCTATGGCAAAATTTGCCTTACTTTGCACTCTGAATATGTCATCTAATAAAGAGGGAATTAAAGCACTTTTTACAAAACTTCTGGGTTCCTCCTGCGTCGGTCTTTGTTGAATCGAATCATCCCGTTGCCTTCTTCAGAGCTTGACTGAAACTGGCTCGAATTTTACTCTGTACCTGCTTATATATTGTTTGAGGAGGGCAGAGCTAAATGAGAGGCATAAACACCGTCTTGAATGACGGATCATATTGGTGACAGGTAAAGTTTATCGAATAAGTAAATAAGTTTTGCTGATGAGTTTTTTGTCTTAGCCTTCAGGCTCTTTCGTGTTCTTTAGGCCTAGTTGATATTTTCCGTCCGGTCTCTCCAATGTATTCTTTGCCGCATATAAATGGAATGCTGTAAACTCGTGGTGAATGTACAGTGGCAAAAGTGGCAAGTAGAATTGCTTTCGGCTTCATTGCTATTGGAAGGTTGGGGTGAAGTGTATTTTGGGATAGAACGCTTAATATCTTTAATGTGAAAATTATTAGAGGGAAGAGCAGAGATAAGGTAAGCTCTGAGGAAGCCAACAGGATGATTGGCGAAACGTTAGCAAGTTCGAGTTAACAAAAACAGGAGGAATCCAAAAGTTTCTTAAAAAGTATTACAGTAAAAGAAAAAGGAAATTAAAGTATAATAATTATATCATATAATTTATTTACTGACTGAATTTACACTAATTAAAAAATATGTTTGTATCCTTACGCGTTAAGGCCTGCGCACAAGGCAAATTCTGCGACAATTTCCGCGGCCTTGGTGCCAGCGCTTTCAACCTTTCCGGTAGCGCAGGCTTCGAGGACCGGCAAAATACCCGTCACCAACGTCGTCGCTTTGGTGACGTCTTCGACGATGTGCTGGGGGGCCGAGCTCGTATCTTTCACGATCTCCTCGAGCAGTTTCGCGTAACATTTCAGCTGCTTGATCTTGTTGCCGCTACAGTTGTCGATGTCATCGTCAATCTTGGCGAGGTCCTGCTCTATCTGCTGCGCGTTCTTCAAGGCGTCGTCGATGTACCCCTTGGCCTTTTCCACCTGGGTGGTTGCGCAAGACACCAGCTCGTCGACCAGGGTGTCTGGTAAATTAGTAAATTCCGTCACGTATTTTTCACAAGCGGATACGTCGAAGCCTTTCTCTTTCGCTTCCTCGACCAGCTTGTCCAACTTCTCCTGCAACTTGGAAACCGCCCCTTGGATCTCAGCCTTGGCTTTGTCTTCCAGGTCGTGGGCTTTGGTTTCGACCTGTTCGAGGGCCTTGTCGAGAGCGGACTGCGCCTGCGTCAGAGCTTTATCTATGGCCTTCATCATCGACTCGAACGCCTTTTTGACATCATCTTTGGAGGCGTCAAGAGCTGCGTCTCCTTGGACCTGGAAAAGTACCCGACTGGAAAAGTTTCTAAAGCCCCTAAGGGCTTCCCACTTACTTGAGTCAGGAAAAGGGCGACCCCCGTCACCAAGAGCAGCGGTTTAAACATGTCGGAGGTGCAGTTGTTGTATCGAGGTCGTTGCCTGTCTCGTTATATACCTAGGTGGTACGGAAGGGGATTTTCGTTTAGAAATATCTATGAGTGGATTGTAAACAACACGTATTCACGTTCGTTTACCTATTTTCGAAAGATTAAGTGATTGCGAGAATAAGAAGTCAATTGGTGTGACGATAAGCATGCATTAGTCCGAATACAGTTTGCGGTACAAATTGTTCTGGTGAGGAAAAAGATATTTGGCTGGGGTCTGTTGTCTGTTCATAGTTGACTTTGTTATTTTAAATGGCACACCCTATATATTTCGGCATTTTTAAATAAAATAAAATAAAAGTCACTTTTTTAAAGAAATTCCTATTCGAATGTTGCATAGTTTAGGCATAAATTAAGGTTATGTGTTTTTTTTTTTCATATTTTGATTGCCCCATATAAAATTGGGTTGTGACGCTACTGATCCAGGTGTTGCAACGAAAATTTAACCACAGACAAAGGAGATAATGCACTACTTAATCAGTTCGACAGATGCGGCTCTGCTTATACAGGGTGTCCCAAATAGGTGATGCGGTTTTCGCAAATTCAATTAACAAAATCTCAAGATATTTCTATTCAGATAACAATTCTAAGTTTGTAATTAATCTTAATAAATATCAAAGATAGCAAAGACATGATACTACTTCTTTTAGAGATATAATATTTCAGATATACGATTAAAACCTATTGCTAATAATATATATTTAATAAAACTTCTGAATTCATATTTAAAGAAACATTTAATAGTTGTCTAGCTCATCGAAAATACCAAATAACAAAAAGAAGTAATTAAAGTGTATTATAGGCTAACTAACCAAGGTAACAAATTTGAATAAATAAATCTATAAAAGAGAAGTTAACTAAAAAATGCTAAAATGCTTGTTTCACCTGGCAACAAAACAACAAAGAAATATCAAAATATATTACAAATGTAGTTGGCTTTAACTCCCCATTCTTTTTTAGGCATTAAGGTATCAAGAAACGTTCACATTTCTGTTTGTTTTTGTTGTTTTTCATATTTATATTTAAAAAGTTCATAGTTGGCAAGTTTTTTGTTAGTATATATTTTATAGGTATTTTAGATAAGTTATAGTTTTTTGGTTAACCTATAAATTTTAATTATTTATTTTTGTTATTAGCTATTTTCAATCAAGCTAGATAATTAACTACTAAATGTTTCTTTAAATATGAATTCTGAAGTTTTATTAAATCTGTTAAAGTGTGTAGTATAGAGTCAAGTTTTTTCAAAATTAATGGACACCCTGTATTGTTAGCAATGTGTTCCATTTAAAATAACAAAGATGATGTCAGGGGGGACACTTGTGGGACACCCCTTATCAACAAAATTACAATGATTTAAATCTTCAGAAGAGTCCAAGAAACTTTTGTAAAAAACTTTTTTCGTATCTCTTATGGGTTTCCAGATCGTATAGTGGATCGTTTTATTTGGTACACGGTGTACGCTAAAAATGAAACGTTTAGGAATATCAAGATTCTTCTTAGTGAAGCAATTGCACATGTTACTGGGAAGTAACGTTTTATCTATGATCCATGAGTACTGTTGCAATCGTCTACCAGGTATATCCCAATGGAAATTCCAAATTTCAGCTTATCTGTCGCACGATAAAGCCTATTAGCTCGCGGTAAACAACAATCGATAAAAGGGAAATCTTGTTTAAAAAATAATAAACAACAAGTAAAATATTTGATTTGACTTTTGGATAAGCAAATCTTGTAGAGGCCGGTAGAGCAACACGACTGGAACAACCAAAGCAATTTAGTAATATTAGATTACGTTACTTTTTAAATAAATAAACAACTTATCTTCCAAGCGTTTATCACAAAAATAATTTGCGTCTGTTACTCTAATTTATTCTCCATGAAATGTAGAATAATAAAATAAAATAATAATTAATAATACATTTTCTAATTGTAGGAAAGTAACAATGAAACTAATAAAATTAGAAACAATATATTTAATTAACATAAGTTATAACAAATAATAATTTTATTATGGGAATATCAGAAAACATAAAATTTTAAAAAATGTAACAGGGTCGTATTACAGAAAATTTAAAATTCTGACCCAGACGGCGGTTCTGAAAAAACAAACCTTTTAATTCAAATTTTGCTCCATTTATTTTATTTTTAATAAGTTGTAATAAAAAGTGTTATTAAGGAAAACCTGTTAAATTTTTCGATTTTCCCTCGTAACTCAGAAATTACTAGCTACTAAAAAAAAACGTTTTTTCGATAATAACGGTGTTATCCATAAGGAGACATCAAACATGGTACCCCCTGTACAGCTAAAATTTCCATTTGCTAATTCAAGACTTCAAGTTGTTTATTTACAATTCACAACTGACGCCATTGAGAGAGCATAGAAACACATATAACTATTTGTTTGGACTTCTATAGCCTATATTTATATTATAACTTAACCAAAAATAAAAAGAATAGTGATAAATGTCTTAAAATTACGAGCTTAAATGTCCAACTGATTGAACTGATTATTGAACGCATCTTTGTTTCTCTGTTTATAAACTACTTCATTGAGTTTCGTCTGGTACCAGTGCTGCCCTCTATGAACTATCGTTGCTTCTGACGAAATTATTTCGTCTCGCTGTACATTATTCCTGTGTTGCTAAAACAAAATCAGGTGTACGGGTACGAGGACTACCTTTTATATTTGGGGATTTGTAATAAAAAACTATAAGCTACCAACAAATATCACTTTATTGCTTCATCAAAGCACTTTGCCCACATAGAATCTGGCAACTCCAAAACATGCTTATTAAACGCATCAATTGCTTCTTCTGGTGTCAAAAATCGTTACCCACGTAACCAATCCAACGCGAAGAAATTTTTTAGGGGCCAAATGTTCATGCAAAATTGTATGTATGCTGGTTTCACTAATGTTCAAAGATACCTCAATCAGTTTCCGCACTGCATCAATGTTTTATCGGACAACCAACGATTTTGGACGACCTTCAAGAAATTCATCCTTAAGGAAACTACGACCACTACTGAAGTCTGAAAACTAGCGATAAACTGTAGTCCTAGATAGTGCTTTTACTCCAAAAGTCGAATTAAGTTCATAGGTGCATTGTTGTTGAGTTAGTCCACTTCTAAAGCTTTTTAGTTTATTGCAAAAAACACAAAGAAAACCCTTTCGCCAAAACCTCACTGAGTAAACCTAACCTCAAAATGTCAAACTTCTCTATTAAAACGTTAGTCGCCAGCTGGCAGGCATGCATTAATTAACATAGGAATAATATGCAACAAGGCGAAACAACAAAGTCCGGAATAGCACAGCACGAACGGGAAAACCAACACAACAGAAGCAAAAATAGTTCATAGAGTACGAGAACAAATTCAAGAAAGTAGTTTTTATTCAGCTTAACAAAGAGGCCTTCCGCAATTCACCACTGGTTACAGGAAACAAGGACTACACTCTTAGTCTTTTCGTTATTAGGAAACGTTGAGATAGAATTTAAAATTAAGACAACGGAAGTCCAAACAAATAGTTTTAACTGTTGCCTACATCCTTCAAATATACATAGAAACACTTGTCTCACTGAATCTCTCTATTATCTTTAGTACCCCTAGGTGTATAGGGTGGGACACTACCTCACCTCAGAAACTATAATGGATAGAACCAAAAGTTAAATACAAAAATTAATTGGGGTATTACGAACCTTCAATTTATTTTAATTTTGTATATACAGGGCATTTCACTTTTCGTGGGCGAGTTTTAAATGAAACACCTAGTATAGTACTTCATTTTTGAATTTTGAACTGTTTTTGATATTTTATGCGAAATATGACGTTTGCAATGCGTAAAACATCGACCAATTTGTTCATTTTGATGCATTTATTGTTTCACTTGAGTAAGTCTTTCGCAAAAGACAAGATTAAAAATAAAATTAAAAAAACTGCCAACAAATTTTTTTTTAATGGAAACTACCTTTTTTTATAATATTGTTTGTTGTTGATTACTGTCATAATTCAAATATTTTTTGCGTATCATGTTTATCACAGAATAGAAGATTGATTTGTTAGAAAGTTACATATCGAACAATAAAAATCGGACTCTCAGAGATTCTATAACAAAATTTCCATTAAGAAGACACCCAGAAAAAAAGATCTTCGACAGGATTTACTTGCACTTTAAAATATACGGAACCTTGAAGAGTAGTACGTTGAATAGTTACTCCTGACCTCCAAGGAGCCCCCACTTAACACCCCTAATTTTTTTTCTGTGGGGTACACTTGAATAATTAGTTTACAAACACAAAACGGCCACAGATAATTAAATGAGACTGAATCTGTTAGAAATGCCATTATGTATTTAGAAATAGAGGACATATTGAACAACTGTTGTAATATTTATTATCCTTTGTGAGTTATTAATTTTTTATTGATCGTGCGTTTTACCAACGTTATCGCGTATCTTTGGTCTTATCCTGTATAAATAATGCATACATACTTTATAAACGCATCGGCATGATTATGGTCAACTATGAAATGGTAAATTTAGCACTTGTTTTATTCAAACGCCGTCATAGCCACTAACTGAACTTATATGGCAACGGCATATTATTTGTAAGAGACAAATATTTAAAAGGAAATATATTAAAAAGTAAAAATATTAGGCATATAGAACCCTATATAAAATTGACTTAATTTTTGAAAGTTTGTTATACCGTTATTAATTTTTGTATTTAACTTTTGGTTCCATCCCCTATAATTTCTAAGGTAAGGCAGTGTCCCAAGATAAACAGCCCACCCTTTACATATGGTCAGGTTGATATACAAGCTATATGTGTAGGACAATACCGGCCGGTGCTCTTAAAATTTCATTATAGATAGACTCTAACTACATCTATCGTTATTCGTCATTGGCGGCATCTAGAATACTCCTAAAGTCTGTACTGATATCTACGTCATCGAATTCAGCAGGAACCGTTTTCCGTTTCGGTACTATGTGGCTGTTCGGTTTCGGTTTCGAGGTACTGGCAGGCGGAGCGCTGAACAGTTCTTCCGTGCTTTCGTCGTCGTCTTCTTCTGTGAAAAAAAGTGAATTTGTTCGTGCCCATCCGCCAAATCCACAGCAACGCTTACCCAAGTATCTGGGGTATCGGAACCTGTCCCTCCATATGGAATGGATGAAGAAGGCGGCCATAGCGAACAGGATAACGAATATCATGGCTATCAGTATTTTAATCAGAGTCAGCTACAAATGAACGCACAGTGTAAATGGGTAAAGCTTTCGCATATTATACTCACATTGTACTCGTCTTCGTAGATGCTTCCCACTTGCGTCTCCACCAGAAGTTGCACCTTCTTTATGTTGAGGTCCTCGGCGTTGACCGCCTTTGACACGCATTCGTACAACCCTTCCTCATCCTTGGACACGCCCTTAAACGTGACGTTTTTAACGGAATTACAAGATCTCCGCAATTAGATTTTGAAAATTAAATCTCTCGTTGCTTGTCCGCCAAGAGGCGCCTTTCTCAGTTTCTTTTCTTGCCAAAAAAGTATACAAAATCAATTGTTCGATACAAAACACAAAAAACAAAACACCTAACCGATTTTCTTATCCGAAATTTAAACATCAAAATGCTCCAAGAACTCCATTACAGAACTTTTGGAGAAATCACGGATTATAAAGGTTTTTTTCAAAATAGTTTAATGTCTAAAAAGAAGTTTGTATTTATATATAGAAAGAATTGTTTCTCGATAGGTAAAATTAATCCACCGCAAACAAAAATTAAAAAAAAATCATTAATAACAATTTTATACAAATACTTTTTTCTACTCCCGTCTGTAAAAGGCCTAATTACACACCGATTTAGCGCGCGGGAAGCGTCACTTTACCACGTCAGTTTCGTTCGACAAGGAATCTAGGCACTTCGGATATTTCTGGGATTTTACCGCACGGGTTCGGGAGCAATCGGATGTTTTTACCGCACGGTTTGAATTTTGACGTTTGTCAATTTTAACGGTCATGTCAGCGAATGTATTCGCATTGATTTGCAAAAATGTACCCAAAAACTAATACACAATATATCAGTCAATTTAAATCCTGCGTAAAATCTAGTCGGTAAATAAAGTGACATTTATAATTTATGTTTCCCACAGAAATGGTATAATTTTCAAATATCCATGTCTCATCGGTGCAAACAAAGCAAAATTGAGGCTTAGGACCTGCTTTTCTTTACTTATACTATCTTAAAAAATTAATCCCCTTAAATGCTCTATCCGTGGATGATTTTTCTTCCAATCATAGTCTTTTTCTTTAAATAAACGACTTAATGATCAATTGTAAAAGTTAAATAGACAACATAACGTTTTAAAGTTGTGTTTGTTCCGTTGTTTACATGACATATCCAATAATACATCTCTCTCTATCTAACTTACACAATTAAAACTACACAACAATACAATACAATACAATTGTACGAAATTTAATCCGATAATCTGTTATTATTTTTATGTATTTAGTTGCAACTACAATTACATCAGTATTTAAAAGTATTTAAATACATAATTTCGATTATAACTTCAAAATATAACGGTAGGAGTGTATTAATATTAATATTTTTAATGACATAGCCATTGCCATTAATTATGTCAAGTGTGTGTTATTATATTTTAATTATTTTTCCCCACTATAACTTAATGCAATGCAGAATTTGTAATGAAATACAGTCCACCATGTATTTAAACATTGGAACTATAGCGAAAGTGTGAGCGTCAGAGAAATTCAGACAGTAATCAATATTTAATTTCACCATCACACATAGCCTAAACAGCGTTGAATTTATTGTAATATTATAATAATATATTTATTGGGTATATTAAGAAGCTAGGCTCAATATATGGCCCTAACCAAAATTACTATTTTTGCAGACGACACCAATCTTACCGATTACAGCGCCAGTCGTTGTTGCATTCTTGTCAAATCTCTAATTAACAGTAAATGCTCTAGATCGACTGTAGGTAATAGAGTAACACTACTTGACTTTACTACTTTACTGTCAAAATGACCCCATTGGTTCATTTACAAAGATAGTTTAATAACCCTGATTAAGAAGTTTGTGGTAGTATAACAGATAATCGTGTAACCGCTATTAATAATGAATAAATAAATTTGTTAGCAATTTTGTCTTTTTCATTCTTTACATTTTTTGTTGTATTTTTTTAATGCTATATTTACATTTATTGCGACAAATATTCAACTAAAATACTTATACTACTCTCTGTTATTTGAAATGACTTTTCTTATTCCGGCATGGGTAACTCCAGGATAGCTCCAACGCTCTGATGGAATGCCAGGAATAAGGGCACTTAGAAGCGCGATAGGGTATAACACACTCCTTACCTTGATGGTCAAGTTACCAGAAAGGATTTCGTAGCGAAACTTGGCCTGGTCGAAGTTATTGGCCGGACCTATGATCACACCCCTGTTGACCAAATGCCAGAAGCGAAATACGTGCCTCCTGTCGTTACTTCTGCACAACAAGATGACGTTATCCCCGGAAGGGGCGTAACGCTGCACCACAAAGTCGGCACTGTCGACGGGTACGCCACCACACAAGTCCAGCAAGAAGTTCACGCAAATTAGGTTCACGAACGTTAGAAACCGGTCCATGGTTCCTGCGAATGTGCCGTTGTCGCAGGGGGAGAGAGAGCAGGAACTCGTAAGGTTTCTTCGCAGGATGAAAAGTCGTTTGTTTGGTCGGGCACGCGGCTCCTACGTAATCACATTCGGTTCCCGTTAAATTTAGCCGAGGTGACGTAAACGACACGTGATGGCACGCGAGGCTCCCGGCTTCTAATTTTAGTGAAGCTGTGTCGTTTTTGGGAGACGCGTTGAACGATAACGATTGCATCGCGTCGATCCATTCGCAATTGCAAAGACGCGATTTTTAGATAAGACCGTGTAAACATAGGCCTCTACAGCGGTTCAACGTTGAGAGAAGAAAATCCCGTATGGGCGGCACACCATAACTTATCATTACAGCAGGTTGGCCGGCCTGTAATCCCCTAAGCTCATTTCTAGTATTTCCAAATTGCTTTCTTGAACCTTCGTTGAGGACATGTTTACGTAAAAATAAAAGATAACATTATATTTATTTTATACATGCCGTAAGCTCTTTATTTTATATCTGTTGATGTATCTATTTCAACCACTTCAGTTCACATGTGCCCCATTTTTGGGGCACAAGTTCAAGCAGTAGTGAACGAGAACATAACACAACCAGGTAATTTTGGTCCATGGCAGGACGTCATATGCCACGATCAGGTACCAAACAGGATTCTATTTACTACTGGGGATAAAATGGTAGGACCACAAATTCCTGATACTTGTACAAAACCCATAGATTTTTTCAAGCTCTTTTTTACCGATGAGCTAATAATAAAAATAGTGGAACAAGCAATTAACTACGCTAGACATAAAATAGCACAGAAGAGGTTGTCAAAAAGTGGGTAGATACTACAGTATGGTACCTTTTTTTAGTAGCATATTTGGAAGAGAAGGACTTGCATGAAAACCATCTCTCTTAGGGCTCGAACTCAGAAAGTCAGTCCCTATTTAGATTATTTGGACAAGCAATTCAAGGAACATTTTGTTCAATCAAAAGAGATATCGGTAGACGAATCTGTTGTTGGATTTAAGGGTAAAATTAGTTTTTGAACTTTCAATTCGAAGAATCCTACGAAATGGTGGATACGAATTGATGTAATGGCAGATGCTAACACCGGATATGGTTATTCAATTTTGCCGTACTAAGAAACCTCGACATCGGAAGATTTAGTGAGACCTGATTTAACTGTAAGCACCGCAAATTTATACCTGATTCTATCAAAAAACCAACATTTGTATCCACAGAAGAGTACGTGGAGGTATGGTCTGTTCATAGATATAAAAAAGTAACCAATTGCTTTTGAATGGGATTATCCAAGGGTGGTCAATGCAACAAGATTATTACCTAAAGTTTCGGAATTTAAATTCAGGTAAAATTGTGGTCCGTAATAGAAAATAATTTTATACCCACCTGTGTTTAATATTCTTTGGTTTGGTATACTAATTAGTTTAGGTTTACTAGTAATCATACTTATTTCGTGTGTAATAGAGCGTGTGTTGAATCGTGTGCGAATTATGCAAAATATGTGCGAGTCTAGTGTATCTGAGGAGATGCTCCCTCCCAAATGTAGAAAACACTATTCTATTGAGACCAAGGAAGTTATAAACAATGTTTATTTGACTCTCATTGAACGTGGTGCCAGCAAGCAAGCATCTTTAGAAGAAACGGCCGCATTGACGAAAATTCCAACATCAACTGTATGGAGCGATCTGGCATTTTGTCGAGTGTAGATGAAAGTGATTTAACCGGTGTTAAATGTGGCAGAACTACCTTATGGAAGTGGATTCAACACATATTTTAATGGAATCTTTTAGAATTCGGAAATGGCGACTGGAATATCTATAAAAAGTAGGATTTACAGAGAACAACAAAGGCCAATTATTTACTTGGATGAAACCTGGTTCGACACTTATAATACCCCGGAAAAGGGTTGGGTTGACTCAACTGATAAGTGCAAAACAAACGCGCCATCAAAAAGAGGTAAAAGAATAACTATTTTGCATGCTGACTCTAAAGATGGTTGGATTCCAAATGAACTTTCTATGTCTGCGAAAAATATTAAAGATTCTTCTCTGGATTACCATGAAGACACCACCGCTGATTTATTTGAAAGTTGGTTTAAAAACAAACTAGTTCCAAACCTTCCTCCTAATAGCGTCATTGTAATGGACAATGCAAGTTATCATAGTAGACAGTTGACTAAAACCCCTTCCTTATGTGACACAAAAGCAACAATCCAAAACTACATGTATAATAACGACATTTATTTTCACAAAGATTATATCAAAAAGAAATTAATTGAGGTTCTACAAAGCTTGAACCTACAAAGGGAATACGTCTATGATAATTATGCAAAAAAATTGAGGGCATAGAGTTCCACCTTACCACTGCATATTTAATTCCATTGAATATGTTTGGCACCAACTGAAATCTGCCATTCGTTTTTCCCCGTGTTTAGTCCAATGTCCTCAAACTTATAGAAAGCGAAGTCCCTCCACAAAGTTGGGCAAATTCTGTTAAACATATAGAAAAAGCAGAACAATCGTATATCCATATTGCAAATAATATAGAACAAATAATAATTAGAACAGGCGATGATAGCGCTAGTGATACTGATATATTATGTGAATAATTTTAAGTAATTTATGTAGGTAATAAAAATAATTTGTAATTTTATTTTAGATTTAAACATAAATACAAACATAAATAAATAAGTATTGTTTAGTATCTTTCTTAACAAAACCCCAAATAATTAAATTCTAAGCAAAGTACGGACCTATTCGGCCATATTTCATTCTTACAGGTTGCCCGGGTCTTTCCTTAATTCGTATCAGTCACTTTCTTATATCTATGAACAGACTTTAACTTACAATTTGTAAATAAGCCAAATGTAGTGGTCAATTACAATAAATTTATGGGAGGTGTCGACCGCGCAGACTCTTATTCAGCGGCAAGGGTTCAAAATTTCTGGCAGACCATGATCTGTAGATACAGAAGAGCGGTTAAATGGCAAATTACATATTTTACGCCAAAATGATGGAAAGAAAAAAGACTGTTCTAACCGTAAAGTACAAGGCAGCAAGCAGAAACCTGCGTGTATTTGTGACACTTGCACCCGTTAGCCTTGACTAGACATTGTTAACTGCTTCGAACGGTACCATAAACTACAATATTGTAGGATGTAATTTTTTTATATTTTGTATGAATAATGGTAGTGATCGTGATAATAATAAAATATCGAAAAAATAATACCCATCGTTTTTATAAAGCGATTTTTTTTAATTAAAAAAAAGACGAGTAGACAGAAACTAGATAAATAATAGTCCGAGTATAGTGTACTCGCGAAATGAAATATACACGAGTGCAAAGGGTTAGTTATTTCTCAGGCCGAAATGCACGCAAATAGGTGAAATTTTGCTATCCCAAGTAGCCATTCAAAATCAGAACATTGGAAATAGTACTAAGGACGAACCACCAGATATAATTTTAATCTCATTTATTTATTTATACTTCTCCACTCATACCAAGTACTTATAATCCAAAATTGCTTACTAACATCTAACTTTATAAATCCAGAGTCAAAAGAAACATACATACTAAGGTACATTAAAAAAAAGATGCATCCACTTTGTTACGTATATCAGACTTCAGATTCTCTTACCCATCTGTGTGTTATTTAGAGTTGAACATAGAATGAAATTCTATCAATCTTGTAACCTTTTTAAGTTGAATTCACTCAAAAAAAATATCTCATTTTTTTTACTTTTGATATTAAACTGTAATTTACATATAACAAAGATGTGGTCTCTCCTAAGTCATTATAACAATCTAAAATTTCTAATTTAAAACTCTATTTAGGACTTTAATGGCGGATGTTAAAAATAAGCGTTGCTAGATAAATACGTACATTAAAACTTCGAGAACTACGTTATTTATGTTATAATTAAAATTGATTTCATTTATTCTTCCAGTGAAAGTTATGATATGACATTTGCTTACATTTAGGAACATTTTGTTTCACTTTACCACACTATAACACTATTTAGGTCTTTCAGTAAATCTCTTCAACACTGTTAATTATCTTAAACAGCTTAAAGTCATCTGCAAACAGCAAGCTGTTAGAGAACGTAATGGAATCTGGTAAATCATTTACAAAAATGGAAAACAAAAGAGGTTCCACTTTATTTTCCTGAGAGTCATAAATAACTTTCAACTCTTACTGGATAACGGTAAAGGAAACATAAGTTTACAGGCACAATGGTTTATTCATCACAAATCTAAGGTCAACCTTATCAAATATCTGTTATTATCATGTCCAATTGTCCAATAATAACTTCAGTAAATGTATCATTGAGCATAGCCATACTTGAATGTGCACAAAGCCATGTTACTTTTTAGTAAAATGATTTTTAAATATTGTAAATATTGATAAACATTGCTCCAAACTCGCAAACCAAATTTTTAGAGAGAAATGTCGCTTCTGCTGCCTTATTATTACTTATATAGTACTGGTGTGAAGTCTTTCTTCAAAATCTGTTCAAATATTCACTCCCCAGAGTCCGAGTTATTGCGAAATTAAAATAAAAAGATTGTTACAGCAAGAAACAATATCCAATTAAGTTTAATGCCAAATAAATTGCAGTGATTTTGCTGTTTTAAGTGTTGTCTATATATTAACCAAGGTGTATATAACTTTTTATCTTTTGTATGTCCTTCAAATTTAATTTAATGAAAGTATGTATAAGTATTGGGCACAACAAAGTCTATTGTGTATAATCAAAGATAAAGTGGCGATGTTCTTCTTTACGATTAATTGTACCTAATTGTTGCGTGACGTCACAAACCGGTATATACGAATCAAAAATTAGTAGCGGGTGGAAGTTACCTCAGCATTTTTATTAATAAAATAATTAAAGTTAGGAAATATTCTCAAAAAATTGTTGCAACTTGTTAGAACAAATCGCATCGTAAAATTAATTCAATATGATCGATAATCGTTCTCGTGTTTTATTCTGAGAAGCTTCTTTCACTATTAAAACGTAACGAATCGACAGAAAGCGCTCAGTGCTCGTCCGTCCTGTTAAAACGTCATCGGACCACCCCGAACGGCCATACTTTTTGGTTGTTCCTCGTATTTGCATAGCGGCCGCCCCGGTATACGCCAAATCGAAACTATTATCACGAATTGTGGAATTTCTTTAATCGAATAGTTTCGAGATAATGATTCGAGAGGTTGAGAGATTCGTCGTCTCAGTTTGCGTTGCAAAGACCGGCGATCATAATGTTGACTCGGTGTTTGTTGATTAACGGTCGGGCGCGAGTTTGGGGTCAAGCGGTCTGCTTCAGGTCGCTGGTCGTCGAAAATGCACGGTACGTGAGCGGCGGCGTCGTCTTCCGGTCACCGAAGCTCACGCAGGTATGTTTGGGAATCCATGCGTACTGTGGACTGACGTACTGCAGGGGTACGCGTACGCGCGGGTCGCTCGACACAATAAGAAGTCCTTCGAGCAACACGTGACGTCATCGCAGCAACCCAAATATTATTATCTGTGCGTGAGAGGTGATAACGAAAGTGAAAAGGTTAAAAAAATACGTTGTCCTGTTTGTTTTTTAAGTTTTATGAAGCCGTTGCCAGCTGATCTCAAGCAGCGTCTACATTTCAAGGCCAAGTTAGCTTTTCCTTATACAGGGTGATTCATAAAGAATGGGAATGGAGCTACTATAGACACGAAAATATGTTTAAACTCAACATGCCTTATACAAATGTCGCCAGTTTCGGAGACACAGAGTGTTCAAAGTTCACATTAAGAAAGTGTTTATAGTATGACAATCAAAATTTACAGTTTTAGGATGTTTGGCATGAATTTAAAGCTTATTTTTACATTGGTCCTATATTTGTTTGTATGGTTAAAGCATTATGAAAATCTGAATTAATGTCAATTTTTCATAGAAAATCTAATGTTTAAACAGACTTGCTTTGTTGGTTTTAATCTCACTTGCAAAAAGTTCAAAAAAAAAAGAAAGCCACAAAAAGTAAAACCCTTAAAGGTGTCTTATAATTATATATTATTTAGATGGAACTTTTATTTCTGTTATGTTAAATGCTTCAACTTTTACTTTACGGGTTCAAAGAGCACCACATAAATCTATCTAGTGAATTAAAATAGATTCCGCTGGCCAATTTTGAGAAAATAAAACATTATTGTTTCCTCGCGTATCTTATGTTATTACGCATGGAAAAATCAAACTACAAATTGTTTATACTAAATAGTTATCGATTAGAACGTTTCGAAATACGGAATGATTTTGCTTTTCAATATTAATTTTAAGACATTCATCCCAAAATAATATTTTTGAAACACCTCGTTTATTTATACTCTTGTAAAAATGTTTTAGCAAAACAACAATAAAATTAAATGTAACTTTGACCAATGCACAAGCTCACTTAGAAGAAAAATCAATATCATAAATTTGCGTGTGTTATAAAATGTATTGAGTAAATGGTGGTCAATTGAAACATTTGATTTGAAGTTTTTTTTATTAGTATTACCAAAATTGTGATTGTTAAAAATGGTTTCATATTGTTCCCCGTACCTTTCTATTTTTTTAAGAACTTATAGAAGAATTCAGAAAAATTCCCTCAATTTTTTAGTATAGTAGTATCTACAGTTTAGAAAGTTCATTCTGTAATAATCACTTTGTATGTATAGAAAGTTACTTAATATTTCAGTAATTAAGACATCTGCGTGGTGAAAAGTTATTATAAACGCGTGACGTAGATTTCTTCATTTTTGAGATATAGTAATACCATCTTTATTTTTTCGTACTTTCAAAAAATTCTCATGGAAAATTGGTACCTGAGAATTTGAAGTAATCGATGCATACGTTTTTAAATAAATGAAACAAATTTGCCCTGTATCTCGAAAACCAAGCGTTTTGGACCATTGGAACTTTTTACCTTAATAGTGTATTCTTTAATAGCGTAAATGACTTTTCGGTATTAGTACAGATAAAAAATAACTTTTAAACACTAAAAAGACATTATTTAGGTAATAACAAGTGTAAATAATATTGATTACGTAAGTACTAATTAAGTTAAGCAATTAATAAAGGGCTATGATAAAAAGAATCCTAATAAATTTTACTTTTTTACAAAACTTGTGGATTCGTCCTGCGTCGGTTTTTACTGAATCGAACTTGCTGACGTTTCGCCAATCATCCTGTTGGCTTCTTCAGAGCTTGACTCAAAACTGACAATCAAAATTTGAATAGAATTTCTAATAAATTTCGCTTGTGTTAAAGTTAATATTAAAGTTTAACAAATTTAAAATATAAGCACAATCAACTCAGATAATGTAGGAGAAGGGATGGATAACAATTTTTACTTTTATTTAATCATTCAATATTAAGTACGTATGAAAACTATATCTAGTTCAAACTAACAGCAAATTCGCAACTTCTGGTACACTCATTTTAAAAATTGAACTGAGGCGGCTTTGACTTAATAAAAATTGATTTAACAAAATAAATAAGAACTAAAAGTTCAAATTTTCACGAAATTATTATTGTATTCTTAATATCATGTTCAAATATCATACTAGAACATCCTTTAAGTAAAAGTTTTCTATGGTGATATAGATACGTGGATGATATATTTGCTTGCTTTGTTGGAACAGACAGACAATTGAATTCTTTTTTAAATTACATTAACTCATTACATAATCATATAAAATTCACTATCGAGGTTGAACAGGATAACTCTTAACTATTACGAAAACGCAAAACAAATTATATATTTTTCCATTTACCATAAACCTTCACCCACGGACACAGTCATACATAACAGCTCAAATACACACAAAATGGCTGCGTTTTACTTTTTTTTTACACAGACTTTTTAATACGCCACTCTCTACAGAAAATTACAACCAAGAACTTAATATCATTAAACAAATTGCAGCACTGAACAACGGATACCATCCGTTCCTTATCGATAAAATTATAAATAAAAAACAAATCCAGACAACAGTCCGAAACCTAATACAGAACACGAACAATTTAAAACAATGACATAAATAGGAGAACCCAGTGAAAAAGTTGCAAAACATTTGTCAAAATGTGGTTTAAAAATATCTTTCAGAACTAACAACACAATAGGAAAAATTAAAAAAAATAAAACAATAAAACGAAATGTCCAAAATCTCAAAAATCAGGTGTCTACAGGTACCGCGGATTCTGCGGAAAATTTATATTGGAGAAACAGGTAGATCCTTCAAGACACGCATTAGCGAACATAAAAAGGCTTTAGAAAACAATAGTCTAGATTCTAATTATGCTACACTCTTAAACACATTTTTGACGAAAATTTTGGTATTGCCACAAAAAGTAGAAAATTAAATTTATTGGAAGCCACACAAATGAGACATTCAAATGTATTGCTTAACGATCAATTACAAACATTTATTGAGGTTTTATTGTCATTTTTCGGTATATATAGTAGCAGGTAGTTTGTAAATATTACATTTGATAAAGACACGGTGTTGTCCAAACAATTGTCATGCGAAAATGTATAATTTCGTGAAAATCTGAACTTTTGGTTCTTATTTATTTTACTATATAACGAACCAAAATTAATAGTTCCCACCACATTTGTCAAACAATTCGTCTTATTTTATATTGGTCTGTTCTCTGTTGCTCTGATACATAAAGGTAAAAAGAAGTTCCAAATCGTTTGTTGCAATAAGTCGAAATTTTATTTCGTAAAAGAGTTACGTTTCCAACCATGCAAAAGAAATTTACAGTCGTTAAAATTGATGCAATTGTCGAACGTTGAATCCGCAACAAGATCGAAACAATTGAGTCTTTATCAAAGTCGAATGAGGTTCAATTACATCGCGTGCGATCAGTCATGAAATCGGCGATTCCATATTACCGACCTTAACCCCGAAAAAAAAGGACGACGGATTTTTGCTTTCATTTTTTTTTGCGATTTAAAGGCAAATTCTGCATCACGGGCCGGCATCGTCGAACGCAGGGAAAACACCTTTGCCGATCGCAGTGAGCTAAAGTACGCACGGAGGGTAGTCGTCAAACTCGGCAGCGCCGTCATCACCAGAGAGGACGAACACGGTTTGGCCCTCGGACGTCTCGCCTCCATCGTCGAACAGGTATAGTCGCGCCAGAAATATAGTGCTCTTACAACCGACCGCGTGATTAACTTTGCCTATTCCTTCAAAACCGCAACCCTTTATACAGCAGACCCTAAATTATCTACCCACACTAACAAGCATGATATAAGTATGTTTTAATTCTTTTTTGCCGAACAATTCTTCAAATATGTACATACAAAAATTAGTACAAAGTAACAATTTATTACGTTCTAACCAAAACTGCAGAGGTAATTTCATCCTATTATTGAAAATTGGCGATAACATAAGGACGGTGTTCCAGATATTAGTTTCTTTTACATGGCAATAAAGCTCGCAGACACAGCTAAAACTTTTGCATTTAAGGTTTTCACCTATCGTATAGGGTGTTCGCGATATTCCGTGCAATATTTAAAAACATGCTAGGTGCACTAAATTTGCAGCTACCGACTTCAGATTTGCCAGAGAAGTAGAAGTTCAGACCCGCATTTAAACCCTTAAATTAAGCACCGCAAAATATTATTTTAAGAAATTTTCTTTTTGGTTATTTTTGCTTCTAGAAAAACAGGTTTTTCTCCATAACCATTCAACCGATCGGCAGAATTCTTTAACTGGCAGACGCGGAGGATCCAGTGCTATAACATTTATTTCAAGCATTTTGTCGATTATATAAAGGGTTTTTAAATTATAGGCAAAAATCTAAAAGACTTTGAAAATTGTCCTTGTCCAGAGTCGATTATTAATCGCAAATAAAAAAATATATATATTTTTAGAAAAATTCTTGGACCAGGGAACGCGGAAGATCGAGGGCTATGAGCTCCATTTCCGGATTTTTTTAATTATGTACCGGGTGTGTCGATTATGGGTTTGTAAATTATTAGTCATTAATGAAAAATTATAATTTTGTAAAAATTTCGTCCAAACAGTTTCGCAAATTGTGAGGAGAGAGAGTTTCAAGTTTCGTCTATCATACAGGGTGCGCGAGATACATGGAATATTATAATTGGAGTTGTTACTTCTACAATTCTTTATATTTATCAAAGTTTGTCGTTACTATGAAATTCGGCGATAAGTAAAAGACGCCTTATACAGGGTGTGTACACAATATAATTACAGTGAAAACTCCCTACAGCGAAATTCTGTATAACGTAAAACTGAGTATTACGAACAAAATTTGTTGTACTATTAGGTCTCCATACAAAGCTATGTATTAATCCACTCTGTATAACGAATCTATACCGAAAGAGAAAAAGACACACTTAGTGAATACGGCGAGCATTGCGAGTAAGCGAAAAATTTTATCTCTAGATGATAAAGTTGCTTTGATTCGGGAGATAGAACGGGGAGAAAAGAAAATTGATGTGGGACGTCGATACGGATTACACCGTCGACTGTATTCAAAATTTGGAAGTGCAGGCTGAAGCGGCGTAAAAGTAAAAAAATAAAAAAGCCAAAATTTGAAGATTTGGATCGGGCAATGTTGCAGTGGTTCCAACAGCAACGTCTTTCAAATGTACCACTCTCTGGAATTACCGAAAAACTAAAAGCAGAAAACTTTGCTGAACAGCTTGGCATTATCGATTTCAAGGCTTCGGAAGGAGGGTTGGGGAACTTCTAACAGAGACATGATATCAATTACTGGTATTTTTTACAAAATGACGAAAGATAAAACTCTTAAATTTTGAAGCGAAAAGTGTCTGGGTGAAAAAGTTTCTAAAGAACGTATAACAGTGTTAGTAGCTGGCAATATGAGTCGGAAAGAAAGCTAGTCGTGATTGGAAAATCAACTAACCCACGATGTTTTAAGAACATCAAGCATTTGCCGGTCACTTATAAGGCAAACAAATGTGCATGGATGACATCGCAAATTGTTGAAGAGGAGATACCGAAATGGGATGCAGAATTAAAAGAACGAAAATATTACTTCTCTTAGATAACAAATCTACGGAATATTGAATTGTCATTTCGATACAGGAAAAACATATTAATTGAAATGATCGAGTCCGAAGACAAATTTTCCATTAATATGCTAGATGCAGTCGACTTTAATAGTAAAGCTTGGAAAGACGTGACAGAAACAATTCAAAACACCTATCGTCCGTCATGCAGGACTTATTACCGAGACAGAATGTGAACAGGATTTGTAAGATGATCAGCTATTAAGCAAGTGGATAAAGCAGTTTCAAACAACAATTACGTTTATAAGTGAGGAGTTGCAAGATTTTATGGTGATAGACAACAGACTTGACTGAGAAAGCCAAATTACAACAAGCAAGAAAGGGTGAGGAAGAGCACCAAGTAGAAGAAGCAGATGAAGAAGTTGATCTGGGACCACCATCAACCAACCAGTTAAGCTGCTAGGGAATTTTTTTATGTATCATGGGGAAGATGCCCCTCTAGAAGAAATGGTGAAAATACAAGCCAAAGTACGAGGTGCATATTGGCATACTAAAAAAATTCAAAAGGATTTAATTTTTTCTTTGAAAGGTTCTACCAAATTTAAAGATTCGGGACTAAATCTGTTTCTATTTAAACCAAAAACCAAACCAAACACAAATTATGAAATACATCCAAATTTATTTTTAGCCTGCTGCATTTTCTCGAATTATGTTCCCTGCGTCTTCTTTGTTGCTGTCCTTTTGGGACTCTCTGTTCCGTGTATCAATGTTTTATGGATAGTTACTCGCATTCTGTACCAAGGATATAGGGAAACTGTCAAATAGATTTTAAAATCACCGTGTCTAATACTAAGTCCACTAGCTAAAACCTTTAAAATAATATAAAAACTAAACATGAACATCTTTGGTACCTGAGCCTTGCCTTGCCTGGTCTAAAATGATCCCCAACGACATCGAAATTCATTCTGAATTCTTGTTTTTTCTTCTTTAACAACTAACTTAGCCGCACCACGTGCTTGTCATTTTCCCCAATTGTAACCGATAACTAATTTTTAGGAAATATTCTAAGCACCTAATCCACGCATGAAGTGAGGAAATGCCATATACCAGATATTCCTCATTTATGGGCCTCATCAAAATATTTTCTATTTGGTTCATAATTGTGGGAGAAGGATTACACAAATGGCAAACTTCTGAACTTGTCCCGGCTAAAAAGCTAGCCATTTTTCTTTTTTCCTAATCTCTTAATAATATTTAGTCGGTTTCTTTTAGAAACTGATTTTTAAGGGTCTGCAATATATGGTGGACGATGGCCGAGGATTTTGCCAAATAAGATACTTGTCGTTAGCTTGTTTCATAAAAAATGTCAAAAGTAAATAACCGTCAGAATGATCGTCTTGAAATGATTGTTTATATTCGAGATCCAAAGTTGACAGCCATCTAGCAGTAGTGTGGTCCAAAAGATTCTGCAATGTAACGCAAGCTGAATATTCATCAACAAAAATATTTTCAGGATAACATTGTTGCTCGGCTTCTCTCACTTTGGATACAAATTGCAATTGTTCTCTTTTGCATTTGACAATTTTTTATTAACTGAGGAAGTAATAGAACTCGAAATCAACTTGGCTGCTGTCTAATTACCAGAGGCCCAAAGATTTACTTCTTCTACATTAGTTGATAGAAATCCGTTTTTGGTCTACTTATAGTGTGTTTTTTTTAATAGTAGAAATATTGATGTCTATATTTAACCAAGATTCATATTTCTATAAATATTTGGTTTTGGTTGTGGAAACTGCACTCAACTTTTTTCTGAATTCCAAAAGGTAACGACCAACGAGTTTACCGACATTTTCTTTTTGGTGCTTTCGACAGGTGTCACACGATACCGAAAAGAGAGTTGATTTTATTGTATTGTGGGCATTGTAATTCCTGCTTTAAACAGTAATCTTTTAGAGATTGTGAGACGTTTCGTCCCTAAAAATAAAACATCCCACTGAAGACCAGTAGATTGCGTGGCACCCATAGGTTACCCCCTCCCTTGCTCCCTCCCGCAACAGCTTTAATATTTATTTTTAATGTAAATTTAATAATTAAAGTTTATTTTTGCATTATCTAACTTTTTTATATCTATTGTATTTTTAAATTTCGCTTGAGGAAGCCTAACTATATTTTTGTTGAACACATTTTTATAAAATAAGGAGGCAGAGATGGTCGGAGTTTTATTTTTTGGGAAGGTTTATAGGACAATGAGCATTTATATAACAAAAAACTGCGATACCGTTTTGCTCGATTCTTGAGATATCTCTAAACAAAATTAAAGGATTTACTTTAGGTAATAGAAGAAGAACACAGATTCTATTAACTAACAGTCACGTAGAATCCAAAAAACAAATTTAATATGTCCCTATTGATATAAGTAGCCTAAACTTACATCCATTAACTTCATCCATTGACTGGTAGACTGGTCTACGTCCAACATCGGAGATGGAAGGACCTCTGAAGAAGCTCGCCACTCGTGCTAGCGAAACGTTCGGAAGTAATTCCAACCGACGACGGCCTTTAAACCCGAATCAAGATAATAGCTTATCAACGGGCCGCGAAAACCTTAACCAATTTTAAAAATAAATTTAAAATTTATTTTTAGCGTATCATCGGCACACTAGTGGCGATAATTGCAAGATACAGTGACTCACAGCTTAAATGATGCAGTCACTATAACAAAAACTAACTGGTCTGAATGTCTTATTATCTATTAAAATTACGTTAGCAAAGATCCTTCTAAAAAAGTGTGAATTACTTTTTGTCTTGTATATGCCTTGCTTAGTTAAAAATAAAGATTTAATTAAATTATAACAAACAAAACAAAATATAAACAAATCAATAGAGAAAAACGACTTTCTAGTTTCTATACTTTAGTAATTTTTACTTTTAATTCATTCTGGTTACATATTGAGGCACTATTTACTTTTTCTTTAATGTCTCAATTACATTTAAATCTGGTGACTGGGCTGGTGTCTTAATAACAATTGGGCAGTTTTAGAGCAACCAACTGCGGACCCGAAATGACGTGTGCTTTAGATCATTGTCAAGATAGAACGGATAATTGTTACCCAAAAAATAAAT